TTCGCACAGGGGCTGGTCATCTTAGGGAAAATACTATTGATCAAAGATAGATTAATTGTATGTTGATTCTCCAACGCAATGAAGAGGAAAGGTGTAAAAAGGATCAGAAAGAATGAGATCAAAATCCGCAGGGCCAGGGTATGAAATCTTCCTAGTACAGCCTTCAACGCAGCACAGCCGGAAGGGGTCAAATACTACCTATAAATTAATCAATGACCCAACAGTTGGAGCAGATGTCATTCTGATAGCAAAATCCGCCAGCTCGTACTGTTGTGGGTGCGATTGGTTTGGCTGTATTGATTAGGCAATTCTTACGTTCAATTGGCGGGTGGTCATTGCCATTTACGCTAAACGTGGATGCTAGTTCAAGAACTGCCAAATGATTTTGCCTTATGGAGCCGGCTGCGGTGTAATGTTGTGTCTGCACGGTGGTAGGAAGCTTGTTCTGACCAACCAAGCCAAGATGCTGAACCAATCTCAAACGTCCAGCTATTTGCTATGACGGGCGCTGGTTTCAGAAAGTTTGCCATTGCCATGTCATGTTGTTGCAAAGCCGTATGCGTGACACCTTGCTGACCAAATCATGCATGTGGAAAGCTCCCTGCATCCTGGCTCACGTTTGGTTAGCAACAGGTAGGAGGCTTGAGAGGGTCACATGTTAAATCCATGCAAACTGCACAGCCGACGCTGTTTAACGCCTATTATGCAAGCCCCAGTACCATCATCTAGGTCTATAACGTGTCGATTTGGTTGCTCCCAGGTTGATGGAGGCATATCTATAACTCTTAGTGGAATAGTCTGAGCGTCTGGACTTTGCTGTACTGTGTTTGTGTTTGTTCACGCTGAAATAACCATGGTGCGCGCATATAAAATGAGGCACGGACCGTGACGGTCTTGCCGGAAAATAACCTTCCCGCAGGTGAATTAACCTTTATCGGTAGAAAAGCCCCAAAAGCCATTAGGGATGCGGCTAAGGGGCCACGGAGTCACATTTTTAAGAGTCCGAGTTAGTTGCAAACGGCACGCCCACGACATCGCACAGCTCTTTCTGGACTCTGATAAAGCCATCATGGAAGTTCTCAAAATAAAGGCGCTTTGTGGGCAGGAACTGTCAGGACTATAGATCGTTATAAGTGATGTGTAATTTGATATATGAGTAGCTCAAGGATAATCCCAACTTCGTCTCTAGATAGTACGCTATTTTATATCGTAAGCTGGTATATAATAGCTGTTCGTAATAATGTAGCAGTATGATGCACGCTCACTGATGTCAGAAAACAGATATAGTTAGCACTAACGATTACGCCACGTTTCAAGATATCATTGAGGCGCTCGCTCTTCTTTAACGCTTACATTAATGGCTTACTGTGACCAGTCGACGCGCAAACTATGCGGTGGTGCTCAAAAATACAATCCAATCCAACAAATTATCATGAAAATCAAAACAAATGTACGAATGACTCGTTGCGTATCGAGAATTTCAAATGCTGTAAATTATTTGAAATTTAATTTGATATATTTGTGATGAAGCAATATTGTGAGTGTTGAAGGTATCACTAAAAGGTTTAATTAACAACTCCTTACATAGGATCCACATCCTAGCCACCGGCAGATCGAACCATCTTAGTCATACGGTCTCAACAATTTAACACGCACCATAGGTGAGCGGCTCTCGGGGAGAGGTGGCCGTGCCTACCCGGAATCTGTCGTGGTTTTCACGAGGCTGATTAGGTTGTTACAACCTCCACTTATAATCTCATTTTCTTGGTATGCAGGTTTTGAGAAAGTAGCCTTATTGACAGCCTATTCTTTAACAAGTGCGCAACAAACGTCCCAACTTGCCCGAAAGCGGCAGCGATGGCATCCTCTACGACAAATCCGCCCACTGCTTAGGACCCGGACGGATGGCTCAAACGCCGTCATTGTCACTCAACGCCACCAACACTGCCGCAGCTACGGAAGCAGTCCACCCTGCGTGCCCCTTATCCCCTCAAGGATAGTAACCAGGTTCTATTGTCGAGTCAGCCAATAGGCTCGCACGCGAACGCGTGGAGGAGTATAATGCTAAGTTGATATTATTCCAGGCCTCCTGAGTCAAGCTCGAAGAAACTGCTAGAGAATTTATTACTGGACTGGAACGACAGTTCATCCAATAGTTTTCCAATAACTTCCTAGACTTCTGGAACCGCGAGCTCTCCAGTGCCAGATCTGCCTCCAAACCTACCCACAGCAGCGTCGCTGCCTCGCCTCCTGCTGCTTATGACCACTTAAGCCATCAGCGTCAACCACAACGACGATGACGACAACAAAATATCGACCCCCCTCATCTCCAGGGGCAACCGGTTACTACCGCCCCCACTCCGTAAGGACCTTCGTGACTTCATCCTCCTGGAAGCCAGAGCTCCGGCCAGAACCTAATAACTACGCAATCCGGACCCTCATCTGTGGAAGCTCAGCGCCGTTTGGGACTGGATTCGGTAGGTACTTCAACTCAACTCTGAATGGCTATCCAGGCCACCGACCCTGAGATCCGTGACTTCCTCGTAGAGAAGCAGGCGGAGTGGGCAGCAGACTCTAGGACCACCACGGTGGAGACCAACAAGAAGTGGTTTACCTATGCGGTCGCAGACTTTCCCCGTGGACAAACCGACTTCCATGGCAATAAGTTGGACAGCGGAAGTGTTGTGAACGATGAAATAGAAATCCAGACGGGGCTCAAGCCTGTTGACGTGCGCCCTTTGTAGCATACCTCGGATAACCCCTTGATAAGACCCTGCTTGTCTCTTTCCTGAAGCCGACTAAGAAATACTGGTCCCTATTTGGCAGCCGCACGGCTACCCTTGTTGACAAAAGCCGATTGTCATAGCAGTGTAAAACACACTGGGACTATCCCTCCTTCCGCGCCTTCCACAAGAGGCCTCCCTGCCGACGTTGCGGCAAGACTGGCTACGCTCCAGATGATTGTATTGTCCCAGAACAATGTGTCAACTGCATCGGTCCTCACCGCACCAACTTTCACAAGTGCCCAGCTCGCCCAAGGAAAGTCCACGGCGTCTTTCGCCGACTGACCAAGGAACTAAGAGAGCATGCCCGAACAGTAGGCGTTGAAACATGCTGTCAGCGTAATCTAGAAACGCAACCAGAACTGCAACCACGCGCAGCTGAACTGCAGAGACACAACACTGCGAACGGAACCGAGCATCGATTTGTATGGACGATGGTAGTTAAATCGCCTGTTAATAATACCGAGATAGATTCGAATGGGTCGATCCTTGAAGGTCGCAAGGGAAGAAAAAGTGTTGGTCATTGTTCTCATGGCCTCGGTTGCCCTCCGTGTGACGCATGGGGGTCAGCGGGACGGAAGAAACAACAAGGTTTGATGACGTCGGAGCCGCTCGGTTGGTAACGCCGGGGATGTAGGCGATCTGGATAATGTTGGAGGCTCGAGTAAGGATGGTGGGAGCCATAGAGTGAATGGTATGTGTCGATAAGAGAGAAATTCTCCTCGAAGCGGCATCCTTTTCGGAACCTTGCATAGGGTCCATGTCTTCGACAGGGATAGATGTGGGACTCTGTGACCTCTTAGGCTTGATATAGAACCTCCAAACTAAACATGTAGCGGCGAAAATTATTACAATGCTAGCGATGATACCGCCAATGATGCCGCCAATGGTTAGGCCGCAGCCGCCTTTCTTTGATTCGGCCTCTGCATTCCTCCTGGAGGCAGATGTAGCATATTGGGCACAGTAGAGGGGAACGGTATATCGGCAGCTCTCGCTGTCTGAGCAATCGGGACATTGAAGCTCAGTGCTATTGTCACAACTGATCGCGTCGTTACCTTGAGGGACTAACTCAAGTACTGTGGACAGTTGTCAGCGGCAGTCGATAGGCATGAGTACAAGGGGCTAATAGTCACTTACCACGACTTAACTCATCCCAGACTCTAGCACTGATACATCGAGACACACCCATGTTGATGTCCCAACTGTGAGAGGTCGGCAAGAAATTGAGAGAATATCGGCGCTTGAAATTAGGCAAGTATCGATTATTTGGGCTGATAATTCAAGCTTAAGTTGGGTAGGTTATCAGCACTGGCTTCGCAATGGCTAGATTTCGATATCGAATTGTCATAGAATCTGACACTGGAGAAAGAAAAATGAAAGATCGAATGGCTCATTGGAGAAATCTAGGGTGAGGAACATCTATGGATAGAGCTGACTTGGGCTAGATTTTAGGCAGATTCTAAATGTACCTGCCTCACTGGAAAATTAATTGGTCCTGGGTTCGGGAGGAGTTAATAACCTTTCTCTACAAACGAGCTGTAAGTGGCCTTTCGCAAGTTCCTAAGCAACTCCCCCAGATTAAACATTTCAATTTACCTACTGGGCTGAGCACAGACCGTATGATGACAAAGTTATATGCCAACGTATCCGTGCACAGGTCCGTGTCCCAACCCCCCAGCCGCATTGCCCAAGAGCCACAATTTTGTTGGCAGCAATCGCTGCCACCAATGTCGTCTATGCATGCTCTTGAGTGTTGCCGACTGCAAGCCTCGTAACCAAGCGCTGCAGTGCCCTGTCTGCAAGTCCCGCACCCAGCTCGAGGGACCACGTTCTGGCCCTTACCAACGTCATCCCTACAAGCTCACCCGTGTGGGCCCTTGCATAACGCTCACTTCCTTCACTAAGACCATGCAATTCAGCCTGTAAATGACCACGCCATTGCCATGTGGGCCTTGCGGGCCGGGAGTCGCGTGCGCGCATAGTCTGAGCGCCCCCGTGTTTTGAGGTCGACCGACCGGAAATGGTACATCAACTGAGTGCTGAGATGACAACCCTCCACTAATTGGAGATCAAACAACTTGTTTATTGGACACACTGGTTGAAATTGAATGGCGTTTCTGGGTCAGACGAGGATACCGTGCCATCGGAGGCAGGTCCTTTGAGTTGTCGAAGGCTGCCTCGAAGTTCGAGGTTCTCGCGCTGGAGCTCATTGCTCTCTCATTCCAGCGCTTGTATACGCTTGCAAGCCATTTCAAGAACCTCGCCCTTGCTCACTCGGTGGTCCGGATCGTTTATGCCATCCCATTCATTATCGTCTCCATTGCTGTTGTCACCTTGCTGGACTTTCGTCGGCAAAGCATTAAGAAGGGATTCGAATTGAGCATTGAGGCGGTTGCGGTACTGCTTTTCAACGCGGTTATGGGATACTCGAGCCCTGCGCTCTTCTGAAGCGTCATTGAGTTTATTACGGTTGCTTTTGGATATTCGAGAGGTAATGCGAAGCTTTGTCCGACGATTCGATGTTGTCGAAGCCGTGGGTGCCATGGAAGTAGACTTTGAACTGATACCCGTGCGGCTGTTCTGTGAAGCAGAGCTGGGGCTAGCTACGTCAGATAGCGAAGGAGCACCGGCACCAGCACTACTACTGCCACCTTGAGAAGCCTCAGATGTATTGTGGGCCTCTTTCTTTTTTCTTCGCGTTCTTTCTGGTTGTGAAGCGGGTGTTGAGTTGTTATCCTCGGGCGCCTCGTCTAGCTCAGCCCTAGGATTATTCGTGACCTGCTCAGTGGGTCTCGATACCTTCGGAGTGCTAGTTCCATGGTTCAAAGTGTCATCCCAGTGGCCCTCCCGGCCACTATCATGGTAGCCAGAAGATTTTATGCTGGACGGTGTGACGAGCTTGCTGCCGTACGCGAGATCGGAGTCTATCGGTGCGTGCGGTAGATGGCTGTGATGTCCGCTTGTGCCGTCAGGAGCAGGGATTATAGTCCCTGAAACTATAAAATTGAAAAGCGTGGGATTTAGCTGGGGATTTTGATGACCAACGCCGGATAAACCCCAAGCCATCGACATCGGACCTGCATGGGCAGTGTAATGCGCCTGGTGGTGAGTCTCCATCTCGGTCGGGTCTGGCGGCGGCGACGAAATGGGCTGCTGATGTTGAGAATGACCGAGTGGCGACGGCACTATCGTCTATTCTAATGGAAGACGACAAACGTTAGGCTGTTTATTTATTTATTTTTTATTCTTTTTTTTATTTTTCATTCTCTGGTCTCGAACTCCAGTGTCTTCCCTCTTGCCTTCCATTCTTTCACTGTCTGGCTTGTCGTCTCGTGACTGTCCTTGTTGCAAGTTCTATGAAGGAATTTCTGCAAACTGGAGAACGAGTAGATATCATGGGAAGACATGACAGGCACAGACTCCTGGTCTGGCCACTGGCGTAATGTCCGGTGTCGCCATGTCTTAGTTGCTAGTCAAGGAAACCCGAAGCATTGGCAGAAATATCTTGGACGTTCTAGCGCCCGCTTTATCAAACACAACCTCCTATTTGAAACCACTTCGCACAAAGAGAGAAGAAGACAGCTTCACGGCCAGCTTACGTACCTCTGGATCTTCCATGAGTAAGTCATAGAATGACTGGTCCTTACTCTGTACCCCCGCCATGGTAGGGTCGGGGAATGGGAGAATGCAACGTCCTGGATCTTGAGAGTCGTTTAGGTGTTCGTCCCACCGCCGCACTGTCTTGTGTGCCATCTGCAACGGCGGCTTTTTATCTCTAGTGAGGGAGAAGCGTCATTGTGGAATGCCCATGGAACGGGTAGATTGGTTGATTGATTTGATTGATTCTATCCTACACAGTTGTAAGTGTCTAAACGACGATGTCCGGATAGCGGAGTCCGGCGAACAGCCGAAGCCCTCCCGGATCAGTATTGACCCGCGATGCCCCACTCCGCCAAGGCCTACCAGCTGTCTCCGTTGGATTCCCCCGCTTTTCTGTTCTTGCCTTCTCTCTACATTAGCCTAGCCATTCTTGTAAGACAACGGTTCACTACTAACGTACACAAAGTTCTAGGCTCTCTGTAGTCATTCGACCCTCTACTTCGCGGCTGTGTACAGTCTCCCTTCAGTGCTGGCAGCACAAGATGATATGCGCTACCGTTTGCCGGCTTGCCCAGTGGAACAGGTAGCTAGGCCGTGAACCCGATATATGACGTCATTTATCACATGCTTCCAACCACTATCCTGCTGCCGTTGAACATTGGCATCAGTCAGAGAGCGCAGGTTCTTTACCTTTTGTAACCTTTTCAGTTAGCAGCCTCGATCAACTTTTGAAGGCTTCATAATCAATATTTCGGCCAATTTAGCTAATAATTGATAGCATGTAGTGCAGAAATGTCTCTGACCGCATTGCAATTACGCGTCACGGCGTTGGTGCGCAAAACGATATGTCAGTACCAACGTTAATCCGAGAGCATATTTTACCCCAATAGAAAATTTGGCTTCGTAAGGCCGACCAGACGAATAAAAGAGCTAAAAAGAAATAAAACTACCCGGCATTTCCCAGCCAGGATGGCTTGCACTTAGACTTCTTCCACGTATCAAATCATCCGCAAGGAAACGTACAATATGTTTCATCTAAAAGCCACAAAAAAGGCTACCATTAAGTTTCCAGCTAAATATGAGCTATTACTGGTATGATGGCTGCGATCTTAAGATACCTATTCCGCTATGAGCGTGCCCTAGGGGCCTAACTGCACTTCCTATCACAAAAATGAAAAGGTGCGAGTGGCTAAATGCATCAATAAAACCGCGCTATGAATGATCTTCAATACGTTTGGGCGAGTCGCAGGGCTTATGTGGCTCGTTCTAACCCGGATCGATCGAAAATCGGTCGATCCCTGAGGGTTGTTCGATTCGTATCGATCGAGTGGATCAGGAGTAAGACTGCTATCAAACCGAACATCAGGACAGCCGATTCGATATTTGTAGACTTGCCACAATTAGAGTTGGGGAGATATGGAAGCTTCATGGTGCCATCTAATTATCTGTGGGAATGTGAATATCGCAGTTGTACACTTTGGGGGGAAATTGTGTTGGAAAATTTGTCGTCTCCTGAAACCCTTTTGCGGCAGACGTCATCACCGCTTGGCATAGAGCATCTCCGAGTGCTGCTCTTTTAGTCCTCCTATTGACATCCTTCGAGAATCGAGAATGCACCCTAGAACCCGCAGAAACGGCGATATGCCTGCCAAATCTAATCTGGCCAACGTCTCCTCCAGCAAGCCGCCATAGCTGTGTAAAAAAATGAGACAGATGAAAGTCAGCTCATGCGATCATGCCGGCCTGATTCAGCGATCGTTCTTGGCGGCCCGACTAGGCCCATGCCCTCTGCACACGAAGAAAAAACGTCCTGATACGTAATTTAATTTTTAATTATTTTCCCTTTAGAGACGTTTGCTGCTGCTCAATAGGCATGCATTCATCCCCAGGCTGAAACCTAAGCCTTGGCTGACTGGCATTATGGAAGGGCTTAAACAGGTTATCAATGACACGCTGCCGCCCCTTAGCTTAGCTTTTATATCACATCCACTTGACTGCCCTCGAAGCGGCAAAAAACAGCTGTTGATAGTGCTGTTTCAAGCCGAAGGTCCATATTTTTAGACCAGGTTGGCGTTACCCTACCGGGTAAGTCGCCTGGTAAGATTCCAAGGGAAGTAAACCCCGTCCATGTGTATGCAGAGCGAGTCTTTGTCCGTGCTCGTAAAAGTGCATATTAAGGCGGTGGAACTAATAATTACGGCAAAATGTGAGCAACTCAGCGAAAGGCTGAAATAACCCTTAGTACAGTAGTCTATCCCAGAACAACGTCGAATACGATTCTTCGCTTTGACCATCGCCATGGTTTACTTTTGTCCTGTCTCGCCGTCTTATCTTAGGGGTGTTTGCATGTTTGAGCCCTATGGCTTATGCCAAGCAGCTAACTTAAATAACCCTCCATTAAGGACAGTACACCCTTTCAACTCCAGGGGTGGAGGTCATAGACATGCTTCAACCTTCGCTATCCGATGGGCGGGGGTTCCCAAAACTCTCGCACGGTCCCCAACACTACAGGGTTAGGCCCAGACTAGCCCACTAATTGTATTGATCTCATTTAACTATCCCCTTTGTGAGCTGTTGTGGATGGAATGCAGAGCATTTCAGCCCGTCAGAGCGAGCGCACAAATAGTCTGATCAGGTTCTTGCATGTTTCGGTGATCCAGATACCTTGCTAGCGCCCCTCATCCCTCTCGCGCCGTCCTTCCTGGTAAATGACGAGTCGGGTTATGTGGCCTCTAAACCAGATGCCAGATCGAGGATCTTAGCTATGAAGGTCAGGCACTTTTCCAGAGGAATTTCCTCCCTACCTATCCGTTCAAATAGTGTGGATGGAGTACTGAGATATGAGTTATTATCTATGCGGTTTCACAAGCTCAGACTCGACCTGTCGCTTCCCGCCACTCGTCGAGACCTGATCGGGCCAGGCCAATTGAACGAGCTTCACTGTCGGTCACTCCGCGTCCTGCATTCGATTTCCATTAATATATTGCATGGCCGCTTCGTTCGAACCGACCTGTATGAGCATCAGCTCAGTAGCTCTTTACCCCTTGTCATCCCGAGTTTCCAGTGTACGGTTCTCCAGCTACTCAGCATCACCATCAGTAGCACAGAACAATAGCCCAAAGAGTATCAAGGCGCTTCTGGATGTTTAGAGCTCCCTTCCGCTCTTCTCCTGCTGCTTTGGCCATCAGCTGAACGTCTCGTATAGAGATGCCCTGCGATCTCTCTTTACCTCGCGGACGATAGAGCCCTCGGAAGGCCGATTGACATGGGCGGCGACTCGACCTTCGGGACATCCTACTCTCCCGAATCCTTTCTATGGGAGCAATGGTCGTCGTTAAACCAGCTAGTCCCGTTTGATTTATCAGAAGACAAGAGAAGCACGTCAAACAGCGTTTATACGCAGACTGGTCCTCTGATCGATGACTCCCTACACGGCTACAACACTGATTTGACACGCCATTGGCAGTATACCAGCCATGACATGAACTATACGAATCCGTGGAACGGCCTCAACCCTGTTGTAGAGGATATACCCCTGTTTCCGGTTTCTGAGGATGGAATTTCTGAGGCATCACTCGGCCAGGGCCATCGACACTCATCCTCGATACAAAAGACACCAGATCGAAAAACAAATTGCTACTCTGACGACCTGACGTCTCGCAAATCCACTGAACGAACTCCCCTGGGTGATCGAGATATCAATCCACAGATAAAGAAGAAGGGAAAATATTCACCTGTTCGCCGCACGAGCAATACCAGCAGCAACGGCGCTCATGCGGCACAACAGGGTAACGATCGCATAAAAAGAATCCAGAAACGAAACAGAATTGCAGCCAGCAAGTTCCGTGTCAAGCAAAGGGAAGAACAGCAGGAACTTGAGTCTAGCAAGCAGGACCTGGAGCGTATCCACCGTGGTCTTTCCACCTGCGTGGCCGACCTGATATTTGAGGTGTATGAGCTTAAGATGCAACTTTTACAATAGTCGGGGTGTAATTGTACCCTCATGTAGAACTACCTCGTTTATGAGTCCGATCGATACATACAAGCATTAGAAGGGAAGTCACAGCGAGAGGCCTCACATCGGCAATTGTAGCATCTGATGCAACCCGAGCAAGGATAGTAATGGGAGTAAAACGGCGCCAGAATGGCAAAAATGATGGAATACCATTGTGGAAAACCATTGAGGTAGATGTTTTATCTCAAAGCACGTGTCACAGTGATATTGTTTGGGGATTGGGGAACGGGGATCTGATTGGCCTATTGGCTACTTACTTATCCCTAGGTATGTACCACGGAGAGCTTGTCTCGATCATATTTTGCAGGGTCTCTACCTTTGCTACCGTAATATGCGATGGGTATTGCATTAAACTAGTGTGTGACGAGGACGGGCTTCGAGGGTTACACCAATGCGGCTGGGATCTTAGGTTCACGGCATCTCGGAGAAGGGCTTGGGTAGTATCGTACAAGCTGCAAGCAGGGCGGGTTATTTCTCGATGGGTTGTAGGCTAAGTAGGTCGTGTCAAATGACAAAGGCATCTCCTTCCTTCTATTACGCCCTACACGTCCACCGCTTTCAACCTCCTTGGCCCCGACTTGCCGCTTTGACTTTAAGGATCTTCGATCCCATCAACGATTGGCTATCCGGATGAGAATCAGATCATGGCGTCAATGGGGCAGGGGATGCATCCAAGTCTGATCACCGCGCTAGCATAGAATTAGTCGAATGTCGCCCTAAGCCCTGTGGCCCTAATTTTATATGCTAGGATGACCTTGACCGAAACGAGTTTGGTTTGAGCGTTCATGATCAGGCCCTTATCTTTCCTATAACAAAGATCCCTTTAAGATTATATGCGGGTAATTCTCGAAACGATCCCACTACCTCTAGCCGCCGTAAGCCGTCCCAAAACAGTGGTGGTTGCAAGGGGAGGAACTCCACTCTGTCGTAGGAGGTAGGATGGGATAGGGCAGGGTTCTAACATGATTTTTATTTGCGATTATATCTCTGTTAATCCCAATAGACGCCCTAGATACCAATAAACTCCACCATCTTCCCAAGAGCATGCTGGTTGCCTTCCATTGACCCAGCTAACTTCTCTGGCACTCATCCCTCCGTATACCCGTCGCCAAAATCGACGGTCCGCGCATCCTGCTTCGTATTAATCAGAACATTTTCCGGGTTTGCATCCTCCCAAACGATCCCCGCCTCGTGAAGCTGGTAGATGATACTTCGAAGCTGTGCCGCCTGTTTCTGTTGCAGGGGTGATGACTCTGAATCATTGTCTGTTCTGCTGAAAGTGAATGAAATAAGGTTCCAAGGAGGGGACATCTCCGCCGGCGGTATCTCCAGTCATTATGTAGGATCATTAAAGGTTTTAGAAACGAAACAACCCAAAATATGAAGTTTCTCGCTACTTGAAGCCAGTTGCTCTCGAGGATCTGAAGTTGGCGCAAGCTGATAGCGATTGCTGGCGAGTTTGCTATGCAAATAAGACGGCGGGATTTGGTACTTGGAGCCTTAAGTGCTCGGGGTGGTTTAGAATACACTGCGAAAGGCAATACTCATGACGATTAGCTGCTTCTGTCCCCGGAAATTTGCTTGGTCATAGGTTGATGAATATCAAAAACACACATGCTTCGAACTTGGCTACCCAATAAGGCGGCTTTTCCAAACACTTTTGGAACGTCTCCAAAATTCATGATTCGGTACCCATGCCATGGTCTCTGATCACCTGTTCAAAACCTTGCCCTCGCTGTAGTGATGAGTAAACGGTGTGTGCAGCTTTAGCCTGCGTGAGCGAGCGCACGGATAACAGGCCTGACCGTTCTCTCACTAGTGTGGATAATCAAGATATTGTTCCGGCTCCGTCGTTCCTCTAACACCATCCCTCCCCACAAATAATAAGTTAGGCTGTGACGGGTGATGGCCATCGAACAAGACGCCAGATTGAGACATCTGGACTCTAAGCCCAAGCCACGTTTTTAAAACTAGCTATGAGCTTGATGTTTCAAGAGTGTCTGCGAATCTCAAGCATGGTCTCTTCTTGGTCACGCGTTCTGATATCCTTTGACCTTAGCCTTCCTATCACTCTTCGAGTCTGAGGATATAAAGGCAGTTACAAGAGCTCTATTGCCAGCTACGTCATGTCTTGCTTGGTAACTATATTCTAAAACGTGATTCGTTTCGTTTGCAACGACGTATGAGAACTCGTATACTATTTTCTTTTACCGCCGATGCTTCTGGGTTTTACGACATATTTCTCCACAAACTCAGATCCACCATCACCTGCACATTAATCATAACCACCGATCAATTTAATACACTGCTGTAAAGTAGTTAAAACCATTCTCTAGCAACTCTTACCAACATTCCGGCAATCAATTGGACAACTTGTAAGATACATACCTCTTAATCCTTCTCTATCTCATAGGTGATAGGGCTCTAACTGTGTAGGGTCTCATGAAAGACAATTCACCTTTCGGGGACGAGTGCGTTTTCCAACCTCTCCCAGGGAAGCACTGGTGGCCGTCAGATCATACAATCCCGCCTGGCATATCAGGAGACTGGAGGAGTACGGCAAATGGCGTCCACACGGCGACTGCTCCTTTACTCGATGGCTTCGTCTATGGCTATGATGCCGACTCAATAGATTGTTGGAATTGTATCAGGCCCATGATCAACTCTACCTATTGGTGGAACGGCCTTGATTCTACCACGAATTACGTGGCTCAGCAATCATCCTCTAAGCATATGGTTACCAAGGAATTGCCTTCTACCCAGGGTTACTGGTATCTCCCCTCAACAGCAAAGGATGCGAGTCTGAATCAGAATTATGGTTTCAACGACCTTTCGACCCGCAAAGCCTCTAGCCGAAGCCATCTAGCGTACGAAAACCTTGATTCAGAGCCAAAGATAAAAAAACAGTCTACTAGTTGTCGCACGACGAATACTAGCAGCAACAGCGTTTATCCAGCCCAGAAGGACAACGATCGCATTCAAAGGGACCAAGAACGGAATCGAATCAGCGCCTATAAGTTGCGTGTCAAGAAGAGGGAGTACGTATCAAGACTTGAGTCTCGGACACAGGAACTAGAGCGTGTTCACCGCGAGCTTTCCACTTGCGTAGCTAACTTATCCCTTGAGGTATATGAGCTGAAGATGCAAATTCTACAGCAGTCAGGGTGCAACTGCGATCTGATGCGGAACTACATCGCCCATGAATCCCAGCGATGCATGCAAGCGTTGGTAGAGGAGCCGCAGTCAGCAGTCTCGTTTTTGCAGGTAGAGGCCCCCATGCGATGCGAGCAAAAGTAATGCAGGATTATAACGGGTATACGGAAGATGCCGCGGAGATCCGCCAGCCACTCGAAATTTATAGAGACGAGGGATGTCAGAAAAATGTCGAACCAACAAGTGGCGGCGGGCTGGAGAGCTACAGAATGCAAATTTCTTTTTCCTTGCCTAATTACGTTACGCTAGGGTAGTGGCCCAAGGTGAAGTACCTAGCCTTATATGTGGCTAAGTTTGTAGAGGCAGCTGACCAAGCTAATCCACTCGAGTGCATGACCCGTATGATGTATCAACATGTGGTAGGTGCCGGATACAGGCCACACAAAAATGTCTGAGATTACTCTCCGCATCCCCGCGGTGTCTGAGAAAGAGTTTCACAGTACAGGCAAGAGACAGCGGCGAGGAAGTTCTTGATATGTACCTGAATATAGAGAGTAGAAGCATCTAACAAAGGATAAACGCAACAGGATTAGCCCTATGATAAGTTGACTTCTCTTTGTTATGTCCTCCTCATTGTCAAAGGTGGAGTCCGGATGAGAGCCGAGCCATGGTCCCGGGTGGAGAAAGCCATGCACGCAAATTAAATCACCACATTCGCATATGACATGTCGCTTTTGACAGAGTCACAGAGCTTGCTTCGCGTTGTTCCTTTATTTCGCTAAGCGACGAAGGGACAAGGGAATACGTATGCTGCACTTGCATTTTGCAGCGGGTTTTGTTGCTCCCATCGCTCAGCGTTTCAATGCAACACGTTAATTTTGGGCTTTCAAAGCGCGGGCGTGTGCTGCATCCAGTCCTTTCAAAGCCTCGCAAGGCCTTGTCATTCACTCTTTATGCATCACCCATCCCACATAAATAATGAAACCAAACCACAACATTGGCCGACCGGTTGTCATTCCCAGCCACGAGTCGGGAAGTGAGGGTAACCCTCAACCAGGACGAGGCTGCAGATTTCTGCGGATCTTTTCTCCACCAACGCATCGAGTCACATTGATAGGGCGGGGCCATCGGAACTTATCCCTGTCGACGTTGCCCAAAGTAGCGGGACGCATAGTTATGTTGGAGCCGGGCTTGATGGTGACGAAGCGGTGCGTCCGTGCCCGAAGCCCCAACTGAAAATTGAAACACTTCCTTCTGCACACAGAGAAGAAATTGTTGGTCATGTGTAAGGATGGTTTACCAACGCCGATGGTGTTGGAGGCAACTGGCTCTGACATGAAAACCCATCGGTGAGGAACGCCACACTCCAATAGTCTAAACATTGAAATCCGGCAGAGCTAAGCTAGCGCAGTAAGCAAGGACCGTATTCAGGACCTTCTTAAGTCCTATTTGTTTCCACTAAATGCCAGATACAGGATAAAAGTCACTAGTGGGTTCTTAAAAAGCAAAACCCCTCCACTCCTGATGCTTTGGGAATATGTTATTTCGGCCGTTTATTATATGGGCGTAAGGATGTGGCGTTGATGCGTCCGATGTAGCTTTTGACGCAGTCAACCGTATCTATATTCTATCGTCATTTATACACAGGCACCCCTATTTGTTTAGAACTTTTTGGAGCTTGTCAACCTATACATGTATGAATAGATGCGCGTTAAGTCGTCAAGGAAGTCTTAATTATCGATCCTAGCTAATTACTCTTACCATCGTAGCATTTGGTGCCATGGCCGGTCGAGGGTAGGCTGTTCACTGTAAATGTCAGTTCGAGCCTCTCCGCCACTTGAAGTGGTACTGCCACGGGTAAGACAATAGCTGGCGATATGACCCCGTCCACGCGCCTCGGCAAGCCTGGGGCTGCTGCCAGCAAACGTGCTAATGCAACCCAGACTACCGGCACTGGTGGATTATGAATGGAGGGATCGAGTCTCTGCCGGGATTAATGTCATCGACTAAGACATAATGCCCGGTCGTGGCGCCCCCACGACCGGGCATGACCAGGTAGCCGGGAACGCGCCTCATCCAAACCACTTTTAATATGGCTATCTGCCAGCGCTATACAGTATTAAGCAAACCATCAGTCCCTCCCTCGTTGCATTTCTCGTTGCATTTCTCATTGTCTTCTAGCCGCTCCATCATTGACCAAAACTGGCCAACACATGTTTTAAACATCTACAATGGAGTCCCTTTACCAGGTTTATCCTCCGCATACTGTCCACGAGCCCCCTTCCTTGCCTCCAGCTTCGCTAGAGCCCGGCGGTAAGTTAATATGCTACACCTTCTTGCTACTTCTCATGATTACACCTATTGGTGGCATAGCTATTGCCCTTACCGGAAGGCTAGTTTACTCATTCAGATCAAGGATTCGGGGAATGCAAAGCTCCGCTTCAGGAGTTGACTACTCAGAATGTGAACCCGACCACCGCCTCTTCAGCCAAACGCAGGCCGGCTAGCGATTGTCTGTATGACGAAAGTGAAAAGAAGCCCAAGATCTCTCAAGCAAATCCTGAAGTAGACTCCATCAACTTGAGTTCTATCTTATTGTTACCGAACCCTGGTATACAGACTGACCCGAGCAATCCGGCTACCATATCGGAGGATAAGCCACATGCTGACTTGCAGGCAATGCCAGTACTCGAGCTAGAAGCATTAGAAGAGTCTGTGCTTAGCGCCTTTAAATACAGCGACAATGTTGTCGTATTCGGAAAGAAAAAGTTCGCTGTACCGATGGGTAGCGAAATCAACAGCTTTATCAAGTTCAAACGCGCCCATCCCAACTCGGGAGGAAAAGCACATGTCCTCATATACCCTCAACGAGCCATGCCAGCCAGTTGGAATACGGCAGTTCAAAAGCCATCAGATCGAATCTTGTTGGCCTTCTGTACGTCATACATTGTTTATTGCATTCAAAGCGCCTGTTCTCGCGATGGACAACTGAGAGTTTGTTCCGTACTTCTAACGCTTTATTTTCCATTAGATTGGTTTGCTGTCTGCACTGGTAAGAGTCTTATCCCTGAGACGAACCCATGGCTTGATTTTGTTATATTCCAAAATAGTCCGGGAATCCGATGGGCTATCCTGTGCCTTGCTGCCGTGCATCTTCATGACCATGTCCCCGACAAAGGAAATGAGGATCGAGTGATCCGCAACCACGGATTCGGCTATCGAGCTATCCAACTACACAAGCGCGCCGTTGCCTACCTTCGCACCCTCCTCGACTGCAAGCAAGACGGATCATCCCGCGAGATCATATCGTTGTTGATAGTTCTATCGACTATAGACGTAAGTAATGAAACATCCTCCGGTATAAATTATATAAACTAACGGATTAGACTCTCCGGATCGAGCATCGAATGAAAGCTCCCTTTGAGCCCGCATGGTATCAGGGGTTAAGACTGGCGGAGAAGCACCTTGATAAGATGGGGCAAAAACCCTGGTTCTGGGAGGAAGAATGCTGGAATCAGAAAATTCCGAAGAGTCTGAAAGATACCTTGCCGATAGGCTTTGGAGAGTTCCAACCGACGAGGCAAAAAACCTCTCAATTCACGAGTCCTCACGACACCTACCCGACAAACCCAATGGGAACCTCACCAACGAGCCATCAGCGCTCCCAGCCGACAAGCCTTCGCATTTCCCAGGGCGTCTTGGTTGCGCGAGGAATTATCCTTGCGCAGGTTATGTCGAAACTGCCACCGTCAGAAAATTTTGTTCCAGTGGAGGAAAGTCGTCGATTTAGCTGGTTGCTACAGGCTTCATCTGAGCAGTGATCGGAATGGTCTGGTCTGACTTGGTCTTGGTCTGGTCTAGACCGCCAAGACTTGGTCTGGTCTGAGGATTTCTCAAGACCATGGTCGGACCGGTCTTAATGGTCTGGACCGGTCTGGCTATAAATAGATCGGGGTGGCTGAATCTTAGACTAATGCAGTTAGAACATTGAGTACGGAATGAAATTATGAGCCCCTGAGAACAGCTTGAGTTTTCCACTCACATAAAACAATCAAGTCCATAACAACCTGCTTGTATGCTATTGTTATGGAGTCATCAGCTCCACCCTTACCGTCTCCATTGACTATAATGGTACCAAATTCAACGTCTCTTACACCATCTCCTGTCCCTACGTCGTCACCCACCCCTACTCTATCACCAGCCCCTGTTCGATATCACGAACCTCCGGATGAGTTCGTACAGGACCGTATCACCTACGTGAAACGCGCGACAATTACAAAGAAGGGATTTCGTCTAGGTTCATCACACATCTGGAAGTATGGCCTCCAATACATTCGAGGTAGCGATAAGAAAGAGGTGTATTACTGTCACGAGTGCACGGCTGGAAAGAACAAGCAAGAATTGTTTGTTATCAATGGCACTTCTAAGGTCAGAAATCACCTAGAACAGAAGCACCAGATTGATCCCCAGAGTGGTATCAAGAAACATAGTTCGACACGGAAGTCTGTACTGGATCAGCAGAAGAGCGCGGCTGCTACTAATACCTTCTTCTGGAAAGACTCAATGGAGAAGTTCAAAGAGCTTCTAATTCGTTGGATTGTGTACTGCCATATTGCTTTCTTTCAACTAGAAAATCGGTATTTCCGAGAACTACTCTTCTTTTTGAATCCGGCACTTCTCAACCACCTTCCAAAGGCAGCGAAAACTATTCGAAGTTGGGTTATGGACGCCTTTCTGTCGAAGAAGCAGCGGCTCAGAGAGGACCTCCAGCGCTCGCGGAGTAGAATCTCCATCTCCTTTGATCTCTGGACTTCGCCAAACCCTTACGCTATTCTAGGTGTCATCGCCATGTGGATTGACACTACTGGCAAGCGACGAACTACCGTTTTGGGTATACGACGTGTGTACGGCGAACACACTGGCGAGAATCTTGGATCAGTTGTTCTTGAATTGCTAAAAGAATATGATATTGGCGGAGATGAGATTGGATATTTCATGCTGGATAATGCCTCGTCAAATGATACCGCTGTTGGATTCATACTCAAGGAGCTCTGCCCATGGATGGACTCGAAACAACGTCGCCATCGCCGACTTCGCTGCTTGGGCCACATTGTCAACCTCTGCTGCCAGGCGTTTCTCATGGGTCGGAACTGTGAGAAGTATCTAGCAAAGCTTGAAAAGCACTATCAACGCGGAGACTATGTGAAGGTGGAAGAGCTCTGGAAAAAATTTGGATGTTTAGGTCGGCTTCACAACCTCGTACGATACATTAGGCTTACTCCACAACGCCGTGAGGAGTTTGCTGCAATCATTATCGGCGGAGATCTCTCTGAATTCGACGGGCTCGAGCTTATCCAGAACAACTCGACACGCTGGAATTCATGGTTTCATTCAATTACACGGGCATTGAATGTTCGGGAACGCTTAGAGATCTTCTCAGCTCGCCATGTACCTGGGAAAGGCTCTCAAGGGATTGCGAACTTTAAACTTGATGGACAGCACTGGTTCGAGCTTGAAAAGATTGAACTCGCTCTAAAAGACTTCTACGCTGCAACTTTGCTTTCTGAAGGTAAGAAGACGTCACTTGCTGACTGGTTTTCAACTTTGGACTGCCTTCTTCGAGAGGTAAGCGAGACGAAGGATCACTACCACGACATCCACACTGAGGACGATAATAACTTTACATGGAAGTACCTTCAAAGCTGCGCAGATGCCGCGTGGTCAAAATGCGCCGAGTACTACAGCAACCAGCAGCTAAATTGGCAGAATCGATTCCCTGAAGATACTGACCTTCCACCGGCATACTATGCGGCTCAAATCCTCGATCCATATCGCAAGTGGGCGTGGTTCAGGCAAGAGTGGGTTCTTCACGGCGACGAAGAGAAGAAGAGGTGGTTTGATAACGCACAATCAGCGGTGAAGCATCTCTGGGAGACAGAGTATAAGGGAAGACACCCTGTTGAGATGCTGCCACCACCGGCCAGGAAGGAGAGAGCTCCTGACCCAGCATTTGATCGCCAGCGGGAACATAAGCGTATTCGAACAGACGCTCCGGTCTCCACAACAGATTTGTATGAACAATATATTTCTACCGACAGGCTCCATGACGACGAGGCAGGTTACGATGACGCCATTGCGTACTGGCTATCTCGTTATGACTCCCAGAGAGATCTCGCTCGCTTCGCTCTGGATCTGTTTGCGATCTCACCCATGTCAGATGAGTGCGAACGCCTTTTTAGTAGCGCAAAGCTTACTATAGTTGATCGCCGTGGTAGGCTGAAAGCAGATATCATAGAAGCTTGTGAGTGTCTCCGGGCTTGGTATGGAAAGCCCCAGGTTGAGGATGACAGTGATAGCGAGGATAGTGAGAATGATAATGAATGGGTTGATAGCTATTCGTAAAACACATTTCCTTTCTTCCTTCCACTACTTCAACTGTCACGGGGCCAGAGGCTTTGCAGCAAGCATAGCGTGTATTGACGAAGAGGTCGGCTCAGGGAGCAGAAAACGTTCTGCCCTTGAGCGACAATACCGTATTTATCCGAGCGTACACGTGACCTGTCAGGTGGAACCCTGACAGCCTCATTCTTGGCGGTCTTGTTGGTCTAACCGGTCTACCAGACCGGTTATTATGTAAGCAGCTGGTCTGGTCTGGTCTGGACCCCCAGACCAGACCAGACCAGACCATTCCGATCACTGCATCTGAGGAAGTCTGGACGATCCATGGAGGATGTGGTGCTTCGCCAAAATTGCTGCATATCATGAGTCAGATTAATTACTGTGCAACAAGGTTGCATCAGGATGATCAAAGCATTGTGGTACCCATAACAGCAAAGAAATTACTCCAACTTTTGTATGAGCTAAAATCCACCGGGTCGACCGAGCCTTTTATTGGCCCCACTACGAAGATGATCGAACGGACAGCTTATGCTTGGCTTCTCACCGCGATCATCTATCTTCGATGTCGAGTGCAGAGGTATGGATGATTGTGGATAAACCATTCTTTCAGATAGTTATGGCTAACCAGTTGGTAGGTATCCCCCTAGTCACCCATGTGTGAGCAGGCATTTGGAAGCCTTAGCTAAATGCATCCAAGCAGTCCCGGCATCTGGCCTTCATTTCACTGCAAATGCGCCTATTCTGCCTGTATTCCTACTCGGTTTATTGTCCGCGAAGAACAAAGGAGTCGCGCAAGACTGGTTTGAGAGGGTACTTCAAGTGCCGGTCAGAAGTGTAAGTCTGGTCTTTTAGTACATCTCACAAGATTCTTTTCTATCCTACGTTGACTTGTAACGAGAATCATGATTGACTTCCTTTAGACTGTCCCTCCCATCTACGAAGCGCTGAAGCGAACCTGGGAGTGGAAACCGATATGGCCTTCAGCCAAAAATCTACCTTATTCAATCCGAGAAAGAGAGCCTTGGTGGGAGAAGCTAGTTGATCGACTTCTTGTTGAGGCGGGAGGCATGCTATGTTTTATGTAACTCTGGCTTAACTCTGTAATCTTCCGTTAATAGTATCACTAAAGTGTCGCAAATATTAAGATATATATGAATATCTTTACTTCTACATTAGTACAAGTAAATACAGCGGCCAAGGGTAGCCTTAGTATCTCACAGCGACAGGCAGGTATCACCGTTATATCAAGACGAGACACACCAGTAGAGGCGATAGTGTAGATAGTGTCTGGGCGCCCATGGTTTGCAATACCCTAAAAGAGAGAGGAAATCACAACTTAAAAGCTAGGTCATCCGTCCATCATCTAAAGCAGGCTTCACAGTATGAAGCCACAAGCTGTCTTGGGCAGAGCCACAGGCAAGCGAAAGTTCACGAATAACTTATCCAAAACAATATGTGTTGGTCCACGGTGGATCCGAGTCGTTGGAAATGGGGTTTGAAAGAAGCGGTGGCAATATTTTAGTGCCGAATCCGATCTCGACCAAGGCTTATACTGGATATACGCCACAACTAAACTAGTTGTTTAGGCTGTGCGGTCTGGCTGGAAGGAGTAATGGCCATGAGGATAGCCGGAAGAAGCCGTGAACCTTGGTAGATCTTTTAATCAATAGAATGTCCTGGCTGAGAATAATCTGATTTGAGCCTGCGGCCTATGTGTGACATCTCGCGGGACCTTCCGCGGGATAGATCCTAAAGGGCCCGTGCGTTAGACAGTGACCAATAGTATATCCAGCAAACAGAGACAACAAGATGAGTGGGCTCCATCGGGTATCAGCCCCGACTACCAATCCTTGTCTCGGAAGAAACGGGAGGTGAAACGACCTTCTCCGCGGAGCCAATAAATTAACAAAGATGCCTGAGGCAGGACAGAATAATGACTGGTCATTGTTCCTCGGGAATAGATTCGGGATCCGTGGTAACCTTCCACCTATCACTGGTGCTTGACGCCTGCCGAACGCCCCTAGTAGAGTAGCTAGGGCCGGAAGGGGAGAAAACAAGCAGTATTAAAGTCTAGACAGTCAGGGCGTGTTGGTAGATAATGGGCCATTACCCCTGCAAGTCCGCTAGTGGCAAGCTATCCCACTGTTACTCGGACTTGAGGTCCGTGTATTCATCCTTGTAAGGCCAGCTTCATCGAGATCAGCGATGGCTAGCGAGTAAACTTGCCAGGGGACCACTACTTGACGGTCTCCTGATGCGTGACAATGGACTCTTCTCGACCTTTTACTTGCCCCTTCCTTAGCGGTCTTGTTCAAGGCTCCAATTTTAATACCCTGCCAATGTCCTGTCATGACAGGCAATACAGTGCACCCTTGGGTTTCATTCCGCCCCTCATCAACCTGGTGGTTGCCTATCACCCTTTCCAAAGTTCCGAGCCCACCAGATTTTGAGTAATGTAAGTCTCAGAATGGCCAGCATTGGCGGGGGACCTCGGTGCGCACTAGTTCAGCCCCAGAAAGGCAAATTGCCGTTCTTGCTGCAATTAGCCCTTGGTTGACCCAATCTGTCGGGATAAGACAGCTAGATAACTTCGTATTACCGGCGATGGCTTAAGCCGCAGATATAACAGATTATCTTTTGATTGCACTGTCTGTGGCGTAACCTAGCCTTGGGACCTTCCTACCTCTTATGGGCAGGTGTTCTTTTTTTTTTTCCTTTGTCAGTGGCGCAACGAGGCTTTTATTTGCTTTTGCTCCCTTCTCAAGGAGCCCGTCCAATCATGATGGCTTGCTTCAGGGTCTTTCATTTCTTTCATGCTGAAAAAAAAATGAGGTGTCATACGAGCATCCAGCTGCAATCTTCACCAGGGCATCACCCTGGATTTTTGTCTCTCTTCCGGTTCTCTTTCGCTGTCTGCCGTCAATTGGATAGAACGTTAACCGATCCACAAAAGCATTGACCTTCATCTCCGACCCTCCTGTAGCAAGTTCGCCAATCATCGTTGAAGATTTCGTCTATTCCAACTGAGACATTGCTATCTGACTTGCAAGTACAGACCAGTCATCACTTTTGCCCCTTATATAAACCATTGCTCTATAGATCTATTCACCTCCAGATTTTAATGTCTTACTATAACTATATCAGGACATAAACACGGATGAGATCGAGTGTAACTTGTATAAAATGTTTGTTTATGAGGAGGGAAAGAGAGCCCTAAGGGAAACTCCGACTTAAGTCATATACACAATATTCCCTCATCTAGAGCTCATGAAAAATAACGAGTTCAATAAGTCAGAACTGATAAGATGCGTTAAGTTGGCGTGGGCAGCAATTACAACCGATCAGATTAACGCCCTTATCGACTCTCTTCCGCATCGGATTGACGCCTGCATTCGCACACGCGGATGGTATACCAAATATTAAAGAGAAAAATCAGGGCTTCAAAATGATATATAAAACACCAAAATTGACCGTCAATTAATATATTTCTTTATATGCGAATTTATCGCATCCAAATGAATTCAGTTGGTTTAGGGTGGGGGTGTTCAGATTCTTGACCTAGAATTTTAATGGTGCGTGCCAGCATAAAACGTGACCTGGTGTTTCGATGCGCCCACTGTTGAGAGTGTTGGTGGCAGTGCCTGCACGAAGCCGACTCGACTACCGGACTATCTATGGCTGCCTGATACAGACTCTCAATCATTTCCCCTCTTTTCCGTCGACATCCATGGGGTTCTCTTCTTGATGACTGCCTCCCTTCCTTACGCTGTTCCGAATCTCTCGTCCCACGACAGCCAGGGCCACCAGATGGTGCCCATAAGTGCACGTCCTACAGTGGGGTCGCAAAAGTTACAACACATCGCCGGTTTTCCCCGGGTACATCTACCCTCACCGAACTGATGATTTATTTCCAACATTTAATTGCAAGATCAATTAACCTTCAACAGAGAAGTTTAATATATCAGCCTGTAGCATTTTTAAAGGAGATTCCAAAAATATATATTAATGCTTTATATACCATCTGTCGTTATCGATGACTGCCTGTAATCTTCGATTTATTAATGAGATCAGGTTTTCAAGCACCTTAGGCTCAATTTCTTCCCAGACTTCAGTTGCGGCATTAATTAAAGCTTCTAAAGCTTCCTAATTGCGTAGGAAGTATATAAGTTCTGGATACTTATTGCAAATCCTCTCTTTTAAGATATACCATAGATTTTCAATAGGGTTTAAATCAGGGCTATACGCAGGCCACCAGGTTGACATCGCATGCTGGTTTCGAAGGAAGATTAGAAGCCAACTGCCAATTAGATGACTACAGAAAAGGCTTGAATTATCGTGCTGAAAAACGGTATTTCTGGTAATAAGGCGATAAAGGTGCTGCTCAAATGCTTCCAACAGAGCTCGGGCTGTTACGCCGCCACATTCAGCTTCAGGGTCGCCGTCAAGGGGCACAATGGGAAGCTTTCTGTAATAGTTAAATGCAGAGAAAAATATCTGCAAATGGCGCGTTAGAGTAATTCGAGTCTATATATTTTCCCTGCAAAGTCTCTCTTTCTAATAATAATTAGTCATTACTCAATTGCAGTTTGAAATTTCACCCTTCTACAGAAGACCCAACTTCGGCATTGGCCCCCGCCGCAGGCGACGATAACTTCATCAGAAAAATTCCATTTTTTCCAAAACTCTAAAGACTTATTAATATATAGTCTTGCAAACTGTAGTCATTATGCCGCTGCTTCATTACTAAGGAAAGGCCGTAAAATTGACTGACAATGCATAATTTCAGCGTTTTTTAAGTGTCAGATTAGTATGCTTATGGCAAGTTAACTGTGCCTGTTAAAGTAAATCCCATAGCTAAATATGAGGATCCCTTGCAATAATTAACTTTATTCGTCTTAATTCCCTTGGCCCGATGGCTGTTAGTCGCCCTAATTGCGGTTGATCTTGGGCACTCTGTTGCGCTAGATACCAACAAATGATGCCATAGATTGCATGTCGACTCATGCCGAGTTCTTAACTAATTTCAACGGCGGAACGACCCGGATTATACATCTAATAAATCTTTATTCTTTTGTAAGGAGAATGATGTATTTGCAATACCATTTGGACTTAAATTGATAAATATAGAATTGAAGATTGGTATTGACTGTTGTGATGATGAAGATGTAGAAGGGAAAGCGGAGTACCCGGGAATGTGTCGTAACTTTTGCGACCCCACTGTAGCCGTAGATGTGTTCTCGCTTCATTGCTTCACTGCTCAGGGTCCGCACGGGCTGCTAAGCTAGTACAGTACCGGTCTTGACATCCTGTCAAGGTCATGCTGCCGGTGGGGGCTGCCAAGGAAAGGGGTTCTGCGATCGATCCGGGGCCGGCTCCCCGCCTCGAGCTCTGACTTAGCCTAAAACATTCGCTAAGCGAGTTCCCTTCTAAATCTCAAGCTGCTAGAGCAAGCAGGGGAGCATCAGCGACAGGGGTATACAAATCGACTTCGAATGAGGAGACTATCTCTGCACAAATTAAGCGATTCAAGAAGTGAGCTCCTCGGTCACAGCGCACAGTGTTTTGGGGCTGAACCTTATTTAGAAGCTATTAGCTGATTAGGGTGACTTTGCGGGCTGGTCGACCGTTTTCCTTACCCACAATTTGGCCGCTGCCAGCCCCAGCTAGGATGTTGACGCGACTTGTCACTCATTTCGGACTCTAGGCGGGGTTGGCGTGGCTCACCAAACTGAGACATTTCAAAGTAAGCCCCGTCTATCCAGAAATCTCGCGGTAACTGAAGAGCAACTAAGAAGAAGAGAATCACTTGATCCTATTATCTTCCAGTAGTCCTGGTGGCGCTGGCACAAACGAAGCTGTTGGTTCCACCGGGCGTCATCAAGCCCACCGTTGCTTTTTCCTTCACTAAATCGGGCCAAGAATTCACAGACTACAGCTACAATCACGTGCCAAAAGTCTGACAACACCAACGCGTCTACCCCGCTTTGGTCAGTATCACCAAACGACCTCAATTACTTTAACAACAAGACTTATATACTCAATGGCTTCTAAACAACGCGATTTTGGTACTGAAATAAGCGGAAATCGCCAAAGAAACCATGAATTTACTCCTGAGCAAAGAGCAGCCATGGTCGCGGAGGTATACGCCGGCAAATCAATGAGACAGGTTGCAGCCTCCTACTCAACGGATCCCGGGACTATCTCCCGGACAGTTAAACGCTGGAAAGAGAACCACAATAACGTCTCAAAACCACATTCTAGGCGTCCCCAGAAACTTAGCGCTCGGGAGGTTATATCTATCCAGCCATTTATTAAAAGAAATCGCTCAATTACGTGGAATGAGGCGTTATTGGAGCTTGGTGTTGAAGTGTCAACCCGGACGGTACATCGTCAATTACAAAGGTATTGGTGATGCAAATGGAGGTCAAAAAAGAGGATCAAACTGTCAAAAGACGATGCAAAAGCAAGGCTACAATATGCCCGTTTTGGATTCGTCATATCGACGAATATATCCTCATAATTGGCCTCAAAATGACACCCTTTTCAACGCTGACTTTCTCACAGATCTGCTTTACCGACGAGGTCACGGTTTCAAACGCCCCGAACAACCCCGACGGCTGGGTCTTTCGCCGACCTGATGAGAAGTATCGTATAGACCTAGTTAACGTCCAGCAGCATATTAAACCGACTATTTCCCTCATATTCTGGGGAGGAATTGCTCGCAATAAACAGTCATATCTTATACCGATGATAAGGGATAAGACGGGCAAAAAAGGAGGTTATTCCAGCTGGTCTTATCGCAAAGCCCTTACAGAAGGTCTCCTCCCTTTCCTCGATGAATTTAACCTATTTCAACAAGACAACGCCCGGATTCATACAGCTCAACCGTCAATAGATTGGCTGCTTCTTCATGGGATAAAACCCATTAATTGGCCGTCTCATTCCCCTGATTTAAACCCCATAGAACACGTATAGAAAGCTCTAAAAGCCAAGCTTCGACGGATGCATCCCGAATTTATCAGATTGAAGAACAACAAGTCCGATAGAGCTCAGTTGATCAGATGGTTGCAAGAGGCGTGGGCAGCCTTGCCAAGCCACCTAATTTTGAAGCTGACGACTTCCGTGAAAAACCGCCTTCGCGCTGTCATTCGCGCACAAGGATGGTATATAAAATATTAAAGCGCTGATTCAGGGGAATTAATTGATATACTTTTTATTAAATTTAATTAACTATTCGTGATGATATCGCTGAGTGTTTAATTGGTGTTGTAATCAGGGAGGTTGGATGTGGGGTTGGTGTTGTCAGACTTTTGTCATATCATTTTAGTATGCGAGCTTAGAATAAATCGGCTTAACGATTCTGATCAACATGCAGGTATCGACAAGCTGAGAGGAGAGGGAACGACAACTGCACATGAGGCGTACAACGAAAATACAGTATTCGTGACGCGCCCGATTAATAGGTATTGCTATGGCACGACTCAGCTGAGATCAGTGGTGCAAGGACCCACAACCGGCTTGCTGGTGACCATTCTCTGTTGACGAAAAAGTGGAATAAAGTAAGACATCAATCTTTTGTCTCTGTCACAAAAGAGTGCTCTCACTAACGTGGGCATTTTGACTGGAGGCCGAAGCCAGCCTAAGCACCATTTCAGACATGTTCCTTCTGTCCCCTCCTTGGCCAGTCATTTCGGTACACACCACTCTGTCTTACACACTGGAACGATAGGGTACGAGTGCTTCTCTCCAGCCCCCGCCCAATACACATCACCATCTTATCAGGTTGTACAAAATCTCTTGAGAGCCTGCGAGAAATTTTACCTGGCTCGATTCGGCTCGACTTTACCATCCTCTTCCAGCTTTTCGCTTTTTTCGTATGCCGTCGGGAGCGTGAGTTTACTTAGTCAACTCATCATCAGCATCCAAGGTTGCAACATCCCCTCCATGGCCATCGCGATCCCGTCGCCAGCTCAGTCGAAGCCCTTCCTGTCTAGTATGGGTAATCTATGGGAGAATACCTCGTCAGCTTCTATTCCCATGGTTAGCGTTATTTCTTATCAATATCCACCACTACCCCTTGTCAACATTAAGATGGGTATGCCACCTCAAGGCTTTATGCCTTCCTACACCGTTCCTTTCCAACAGCTTTCTTCCTTGAGCATGTTTAATGTTCGTGATCCTCGGTTATCAAATCAAGAGCATGTTCTGAGTATAAAGGGAGCATTCTCAGCACCAGCCGGTGATCCTTTACATCCTGCGAAAACAGATGAGCAACCGCAACAAATGGGGACAGTAAGGGAGAAAAAGAGAAACAAACTAGGTTATCGTCGCACTATGGTGGCCTGTGGTAAGTGATAGCCTTCCAACTTTCCCATGGATGAGTGTACCTATCTAAACGTATACCCTCAAGGTCACTGCCGGCGCCGAAAAATCAGATGCATCACGTCATCCTCTGATGTGCAAGGTCGTTGCATTAACTGTATTCGCTTGAGGAAGGAGTGCAGTTGTTTCCCGGTAGACCAAACATCTACCTACGACTCACGAGCAAAGAAAACGTCAAGATCTTCTGCTAAAGTAAAAGGAAACTCAGCTACATCTATTAGCAATCCAGTAAAGCAACCAAGGAAACTGAGGCCACCATTTAGCCCATCAACAAAAAACCCAACATCTATTGCAGTTCCCACGACCATTGAAGTCACTAGGACAGAAGGGTTCCCGCCTGAAATGAGAGGTTCGTCAACCGTCTACGGCTACGGGCCATATTAATTAACAGTAAACTACAGCTTCGTATGCATCTCCCACGAATCAGAACCCTTTTGGAATGAGAAACCAGGATCTCTCCAACTGGATGCTTGCAGATGCTGACCAAAGCCCAACTTCGAACACAGGAGAACAGAATCCAACGTGGCAAACGTATCCTTCGGAATCACCCATGAGCACACAACCTTCACCCTTCGCGTCTGTACCGCCGTTGTCGGTTGGATGGACATCTGGAAGCTCGAAACTCACATCTCATGGGGACGTGGATCTTGCTTGGGGTCCCTACGCGCATCCGGTGCGATCCATGTTGTATGGAGGGGAGCCCTTAGCCAGTCATCATCCCTCTCAATATCCTCTGATGGCCTCCAGTCTGCAATTTGAGCGGAGGCCATCTGCATTGTCTGATGTTTATATCACATCTATGAGTGGTGTAGTTCCTGGATTTGAAGCTGGCACTAGCTCCAATATGAACCCAGCCGTTCCTCTTTCAGCTGGAGCAGTAACTCCAGCAAACCATACAGCGTGGGACCAATCACAACCACGTCCAGGCTACACTTTTACAAAGAACCAAGACGCTTATGCTGGTGGCTGGCCGTCTGGACGCAATGGGCGAGGTCACCCATTACAGGTAGCCGGCCCCAGCCAGGCCCAGCCAGCAATTCAGTAATAATGGAGCAACCTCACACTTACATTACACGCGGTGATCATGGAGCAAATTCTAGGACATATCTTGGGCGTAGTCTTCTTAGTGGGAGAAATGTATTCTAGTGGCTCTTCTCGTTCTTGTTGTTTATATTGCGCAGTAGTGCTGGGTGAAAATATATTTTATGAAACTTGGTTGTTTTTAATTATTGAGATGAGAGTTCTTCTCGGGTTCATATCTCTAGATGATTTCATCTAGGACTTTCAGACTAATAGTCTGAATCCTGAAGATAAGGGGGATTCCCGGATTTTCCAACAGGGAGGAGACTAAGCCCTAGAAATCGCCTTCACTGTCAGCTTCATGGTGCAGGGCCACTTCGAAATTGTTAGCCGATTCCTTGACGACAATACTGGTACTCAATTACGGGGTCTCTTTTTGAACGGGGTTCAATCCTACAATCTTTCTTGGGGGTATGGGGAACAAACGGATGCAACCTTATTTCCTCGTCCTTCGGGTACAACCGTTTTGCACTTGGCTGCCTGCGAAAGATTACCTGAAATTGTCGAACTTCTCCTCGAAGAAGGGGCCTGCCGTTAATGCCGCTGATATAGATGGCCGAACTCCTCTCATGGGAACGACCTGGCAAGCTACAACCCATCCAATGCTAATGATCTTGAGGCCCTTTTAAGTGAAGTGTGACGTAGCCAGCAAACTGGCCTAACTTTTATCGATGGGGGCTTGCCCAGTTGCAATTCTCAGACGACATTTGCTGTCCTACTGTTTGGTATTGTACAATGCCACTAACTTCCTATAACGTATTTCATCACTAAGCGGGCCACATCACCTGCCGGGCCAGTTTTCTATACCTCCCAACTTCTAATCCCTACAACTTACCCAAAAACACACTCAATGGAATCCAAAATACCATGATTCGATGCCTCATCTATATCTTCAGCCTCTGGACAAGTTCTTGCATTATGACCACTCTTGCGGCAGATGCCACAGAGCCGCGCGCCCGTCTGGTGCCGCTTCGATAGGCCCCCTCCCGCACCTTCATCACGCCCTTCTTCCTCCACTACGCCCTTTTTCACTAGAAGCTGGCTCGCCTTCTCACCTGTAAGAGGTCCTGAATCTTGTAATCGTGTTCTCTTGGCACTCCGCCGCTTAGAAAGGGCCTCATTGGCCTCGCGGATGCCAGAATTGGTGTTGGAGAGCTTCCTTGATGTTTGCTTACCCGATCCTTGATCAGAGTTGACTGCGAAAGAGCTTCAGTGGCAGTCCGGGGCGTCTGGGAGATCCAAGGTAGGGCCAGAACATCGGGGGTCTCAGGAGGGGTTGGCGTCCGTAATCTCACATCAAGTCTCGAAGTCACAGCTTCTGGATTCCACGGAACTAGGCCAGCCCCCTGAAAGCTACTCTTGATGTCTTTTCCGTAAAGACCAGCTCAAAAGCGGCCTTGAACGCGGGGAAGAAGTCGTCCTTGGTGATATGCGTAATGCTAGCCCGGGTAAGGAACGAGATTTGGCTGCCGTATGCCTTCTTCAACGAGCCAAAAACGCCGACATCGAGCTGCTGAGTTAAATGAGATGAATGGCTTGGTAGGCAGAGTGGTATAATCTTGTTGGCCTTACAGTATTCGTTGAACTCGGCGTTTATATGGCTCTCATGCCCATCAAGCATAAGCATCCGATATTGGCCCTTCTGGCGCGCTTTTGTTTGCTGATCAAAGTGCTTAAGCCACTCGAGACCTGTATCGTGATCAGTCCAGCCGTTGGGAGTCGTCTTGATGACCCAGGTGCCCGGAATCTGACCGCCAGAGTACCAGGCAGCAAGGTGGAATCGGCCCGCAACGCAGAGGAAAGGCGGCACTGTATGTCCATCCGCCGCAACAGCACAAATCGCTGTGACCCATTCTCTATTGCCAGGCTGGACAGCTTTTGGTCTATTGATTCGATCCGAGCGCGTGACGACCATCCTAGCACGGATCATACCCATCATAAAGCCCGTTTCGTCAAAGTTGTACAAGTCGCTGTCCTGTATGCCGTATTTTGCGCGCATATTGGCAACCAGGCGGAACCATGCATTCAACACGTCAGGATCTTCTTGTAAGGCTCTTTGGTAGTCATGCGGGCGAGAAAAAACGCGTACAGAGTTTTGGTTGTCGCGCAATGAAGCGATCAGTCCAGCACTTCCCGACGCGTCGCTCATCACGCTTGAGTAGTAGCAGATTTGCCATATCTTCCACATCGGCTTTCCGAGGTGAAAATCCTCTAGAATCCAGCTGCGATATGTATTGAACAATCGCATCCTCTTCAGCCATTGTCAAATTCGACTGCTATATATATCAGTCTTTAAAGGTCTTCCAATAATTCTAACTTATAAGTTAAGGTTATTCATAAAATACTAAACTACTTTACAAAATATCGAATACTTAATTTTGAATTTTTACGCTTAACATCCATTACAAAAATAATACACGACTCGATATTAAGATCTGACATAATTGTGGTGGGAGTAATCGCGTGTTGAAGTTGGAGTGTACGAAATTGAGAAAAGTGGCCCGGCAGGTGATGCGGCCCGCTTTGTGACGAACTACGTTAATGTAAGTATGATATCTACACAAGGATCATGGCTACCAAACAGCAGATACCTCAAATCCGCGTCTTACTTTCCTCCTTCTCCCAGACAGATCTCGCAGCCCTGTGGGTCTTTAAATATGCCCCATGCATCTCTGTCGCAAATTTCTCCACCCTCCAAGCAAGCTCCCATGTTGAATCCTTAGGTGGGTATCCAACCCACTGCACCAGTAATTGCAATTTCTCGTCCTTGACCTTCCACCGGCGGATTTGAAAAACGTGAAACAAATTTATTCCTGTTGCTTCCTCGCGGCCGCCCCTGAGTTCCCAGTAAGTGTAGAGCACAAGTGGGTAGTCTTCTTGAATTGTACGCTCATCGACATATGTGGGCTTGGAGCAGCCATTCCATCTGGCCTCGAGCTCGACCTCGGTTTTGTTTTTGATGCGGTGACTGATGATTTCTTCAACTTCGTATCTCGGCTCTTCTGCATCATCTCGTTGCTCCTCGGACTCAGCCAGTTCAGCTGTATTGCCTGCGTTAACTGGCTCCCCTGGACCCTCTGGCTTGGTTGGGTCCTTTCGCTTAACTAAATTCGTTTGTTGTTTCTTGCTTCCTAAATGCTTGCGGTCCATTCCGCCCTCTATCTCGCCCTTCAACATCGACTGAACTCCACCGTTGAGGTTATGGTGCCTCAGCGCAAAGCAAGTGACGTCAGGACCGAATCTTGAGGGCTGGGCAACCTCTGTCGACTCGCCTCGCATTGACATATCGCGCGCAGCCTCAGTCTGCTCGTCTATCCTCTGTACCATAGAATGGGAAATGGCAGACTCGGTTGCATTTAAGGACGCTAACACCAGAAGGGGGCTGACGTCGGTAGGAAAGCTACGTTTGCCCCTGAAATTCGATTGCTTTTGGGTTAAGGCACTATCTGTAATCGCCTTTGCCTTGAAAATGCGTGAGAGCTGGTCGAAGCGCGACTGACCCCTTCCCGTTCTCTTTCTGGCCATTGTGCGGCTTAGTTTATGGATCAGAGAAAGGATGTTTGGCGGTATCGCGATGGAGAGCCGAGGTAGATTTCCACTAAATTTCGAGAGATAGTATCATGATTAACTGTTAATTGTGCATTTTGGGCATTGGCCGATTGTGGAGCTTAGATGAACCGTATCGTTGGCATTTGGCCTCGAAGGTCATGGCCCGGTGGTGAATCGTTGGCTTCAGGTTCAGGTTCAGGTTCTACCCCTACTCAGTTTTGGCCGCTATCCAACAGCAGCCATGCCGGGGTTTGGCCGACAGCCGAAGCGCCCCACTTCGCCGAACGCCATTTGGTGCTTGGCCTAGCGCAACCCACAGATCAAATCCAATGAAACAAATTGCCAAACAAATCAATCAAGTATGCCAAAATCATATTTCAATCAAACAAATTTAAAATCCTGGATTTGAAATAACATTTGATATGTTTGATACGTGATATGCGATCCAAGGTCCATGCTGCCTGACTATGAACCGCGCTTTCACAGCTTACCCAGAACCTGGCTGGTTAGCGACCCCAGCGAATGAAAGTCATCCATTAAAACTTCCATTAGTGAGCTACCCCCAGCAACACGGTCAGACTGGCTAAAGAGAAAGTAGCTTCTTAACTTTTACGTCCCGTCCTAGCGACATCAAACCGCGTCAGTGCCAGTTTGTTTACCTCACGGATCGACGCCTAACCCGATGGAATCCAACGACATTATGCTTCTTTCGCCTCCACCCTCTGCCTTTTCTTTTCTCCAATCACCGAGAAATTTGGCGAGCCAATTCGAGCTGACAACGCATACAGCATTGCCAGCAGCGCTGCCCACAAATCAAATGCCATCAAACAAATTGCCAAACAAATCAATCAAATATCCCAAAATCTTATTTCAAATCAAACAAATAGGAAAACTTGGATTTGAAATGACATTTGATATATTTGATACAAGATATGAGGTTGGAGATATGATCAGTTACGCTGATGAGCGTCTCTGCGGATTACCCGGAACCCGATGAATGCTAGAAGCTGCCGAGTGGGTCTGGCCAATCAGAATCATTGCTCAGATCGTTCATTAGTGAGCTACCCTTAGTAGAGTCCTCTACCCCCCCAAGGAGAAAGTAGCCTCTTGGCTTTTTCGCCGCCGCCCCCATATGTTGCAGGCCGGGCATGGTCTCAATGATCCTCAGGAACAACAGCCCTTAGTAATCAAGCTGGGTGATTTAAAGTAAAACCTGTGGGATGGAATGCCCCACACAGAAGATAGAACCAATCAACTCACTACTGCTGCTCATTATGAATGACCCGACCTTCAATCCATTTTAAGCACATCCAGTGCGACACAAGAGTTCCATCGGGTGTCGTTATCGATCCCAAGCCGCAGGCTTACTCGATCCTCCCATAGATCACTGTGGATAGATGAATTTCGAAGCCAGACTGCAATGTTATGTAGTTTACGCATCGCGGGGATGGTTTGCCAGCCTCTGAATTTGTCATCCTTGAAATCGGGGGGCTTCCGTCAGAAGACACTCGTCACGACGAAAGGTCAACTCTCTGAATCCATTTCTTCAGGCAGCTGTTAGGGCCCCGCTAGCCCCACAGCTGCCTTTGCTGCCATTTTGTCCTGCAAAAGCTTTCTGCCCTAGCAGTGCGCTAACAGCGAGTGCTAAGAAAAAGTTTTCACAGGAGAGAGTTCGCCAATAAAAATGCGAAGTATCCCTGTCATTAGTATAGGGTAAGGCCTGCCCGCTACTGGCAAGAGGCGATTTGACCATCCAAATATCCCTTCTAGGCTGGCGATCAATTCAATTCAATCACACATCTGGGGGACAAAAGATCAACCAGTGAACCTTGTGAGCGTGCACACCCCATAGAACACACCGTGCCACCCCTGCTTCAAATTAATCGACACCCCAGATTGAATTGATCGCAGCCCTGATATTATTGGGGGGCTAGGGCATGTGAATGACGAAACTGGCGTTGCCTTTGGCCCAAGCTGGTAAGATTGGCAGGGATGTCTCACTCGAAACCTAGACATCAATCACAGATTTAGCTGCACCCCACACGATCTGTTAGTTCCAATAGCGGTCATAATGATGTCGACGACGTAACTTGGCTGAACTTGCTTGGGGAGCTTGGAGAAGTGGTATATGAGGAAGAGATAGCGTCAATTGATGGTCTAAGTAACAAGCTCTTGTCACGACTCAACAAGCACAATAATACACAGCGATCATCTTCTTTTTGATACCCAATCCATAAAAATAACTACACGATATTCACCATGAGTCTAAGCGCCAAAGTCAAAGACATTCTACACTCTGGCGAGTCCAAGGACAGATCCACAGCAGACAATACCAAGCGCCCACCTGGCTCATTCACAACAGAAGATATGGAGCCTAGCGAAACATACGAAGGCTACTCCAAGGGATACGAACACAATAAGCTTCACAAGGCTGACGATCCTCGAGGAGGGACTCACGGCGATAACAATGCACCTCGCGGCCATGCGCACAAGGATTCTGGTGTTGGACTCACCGAGAATGACCCAACTTCCTACAAGCCTTCTCAAGAACCCATCTCCGAGAGACGCAACGATCCTCTCAACGGAACTACTGAGTCCACTGCCGCTGGTGGCTTGGGAGATACCACCAACCTCGCATCCAAGGAGGGCACCAGTAGCACCACTGTACCATCTACCTCAGAGCATCCTCACTGGGGAGACATTCCCAGCGGAGGCGTTCACAACTCTGTCGTCGGTCATGGCAGCCCCGAAGATGAAAACGCACGCCACCGAGCTGTTCATTCAGGCGCGGCCCAGCCAACTCGAACTTCAGGCACTCTCGAGAGTGGCACATTCCGACACCGCCATGATCGCGATCAGTCATCCTCGAATAACAATCCTCATGATACCCAGCGACTTGCTCAAGAGAACCCGAACCGAGAAACATCTGACTCCAACTTCAACGAGGGCGTAGCTGGTGCTGGTGCTGGCAGAACTGCCACCCTTGGAGCCCACGAGCTCAACAAGAGACGCCATGCCGATGAGACACCAACCAAGGCGGATCAAACCACCGAAAAGACTCATTCCGAGGAACATAAGGGCAGATCTTTCCCTTTGCTGGGCAAGGATCACAAGGACCATCACAAGGAGACCAAGGAAGACAAGTACGCCAAGGAACCCAAGAAGGAGCACGAGAGCAAACTGGGCGCTCTCTTCCACCGACGTGGCTCTAAGGATAAGACTGAGACAGAGGCAAAAGCTGAGCAGGAGGCTGACAAGGAAAGACATTCTCATTCTAAGGCTGCTCCTGCTCTAGCTGCCGCTGGATCCGGTGGTGCTTATGCTGCTACCATGGATCGACATGATGATAAGAAGCGTGATTCAACTACTGGTACTCACCAGAATCCTTCTGCTATTCGAGGCGCGACTCAGTACCCTGCTGCTGGACTCGGCTCTACCAGAGATTACAGCACTCAGGGCAGTCAGCCTACTACTGGTGCTATGCAACAGCCATACCAGCAAGACTCTCACAGAGGCACCGGACTTGCTACTGGTGCCGCTGCTGGTCTTGGAGCTGGAGCGCTTGCGTCTCACGATGGTCAGCGCTCTGGCAATAGCCGCACTGATCCTCAGTCGAGCACAGGTTATGATGCCCAGAGCTACGATCCAGCCAGCCGCTCTGCCACAAACCCGACTGCTCAATCTTATCAGCAGCAGGGTTCTCACGGAGATCATGGCCTCGCCAAGGTTACCGCTGCTGGCCTAGGTGCTGGTGCACTTGCTTCTCATTTCGGTCATCAGCACTCGGGCTCCACCCAGCCTTCAGCTCTCGACTCTACACAGGGCTACAGTGCTCAGCGAGACCGGCCTGCCAACTTCTCTCACAAAGACCCCGCTGGACAGCAGCATGGATCTCACCGAGGCGCGGGACTCGCCGCTGATACTGCAGCTGGACTTAGTGCCAGTGCTTTGGCTTCTCGATCTGGCCGTGACCACCAGTCTGATCAGCATGGACTTGAGTCGAATAGAGGTTTTGAGCCGCAAGGCACTCAGCCCACTCAAACTTCTACCAGAGACCCAACTTCTCAGTATTATCAGCACGAGGGCTCTCACCGAGGCGCAGGACTTGCTGCCGGTACTGCTGCTGGTCTTGGCACCAAGGCTCTTGCATCTCATGATTCGAGCAAGAAACACGATGAGGATCGCTACCTAAGCAATGACAGCTCTCAGCGAGCTCAGCCTAGAGCCACTGGTACTGGGTCCGCTCTGGGTGGCACTTCCGCCTCTGGGTTCGATAGCTCTAGACATGAGCCCTTCCCAGGATCTCACAACCAGTCTCATCACTCGACTCACCATTCTACACTTGCTGAAAACGCCAACGCTGGAAAGTACAACACTCTTGCATCTGGTACCCCCCCTGGTGTCAAGTACGACGATGATGTTGACACCAGCCGTTCAACCCAGCAAGCTCATGTGGATACACCTCAGAAGAAGGATAACCACTACGGTACCGCTGCGGGGCTGGGTGCCGCTGCCGCTGGAGCTGGAACCGCTGGAGCGCTATCTCGCAACAGGGATGAGAAGCCTGTCGATAAGGAGGATTTGACTCATCAGACTGAACCCCGAACTGAGCGGCAACTCGATCGTGATACGGAGTCTCACAAGCCGATCACTGGAGCTGTTGCGCCTAGGTCGGGTGTTAACAAGCCTGTTATTCACAAGTGTCAGAAGTGTGGTGAGGATAATGATATCAGCCAGTACTTTACATATAATGCAGCTGGAAAGATCTAATGAGTTTGGGGGTTTGGTTATGTGATCACGGCCTGTTTTGTATTGAGTATACGCTAGTATCCTGGAGTTTATGTAACATGATGGTTTCCATTTGCTTTTTTAGAACCTTGGGCGCCTCTGTGATGTACCATGCAGTACCCACCTACCGGCAAGCAAAAAAACAATTTCCCTATACAAAATGCTCATTTTCACTTACACGGTATTTGATCAGAATTGAAGTTATTAGCAGGGAACAATGTCTGTTGTATTGGGAAATTCGTTCCGTCTAATATCACCACATTGCTTTTTTGATTACGTATGCAGTATGGTCGCACGGGACTAATGTACAATTTGTCAAAACGTCTCCTTTGACACCCAGCCTCCCCGACGCTCCTTCCAATGTTCCCGATGCCAGCCCCTAATAATCGCCTTAAAAATGCCACGCGTGTCTTATACAGAGGATGAAGTTGCTGAAGCAATGTTAGATGTCACGGATAACGGCCTCTCGCAGAACAAATCCGCCCAGAAACGTGAGATCCCTCGGTCGACTCTCGGGGACCGATTAAGGGGCCTACCGTCAAGGTTAGAGGTCACACAACCTGCCCAGCTGTTATCCGAACCTGAGGAGTCTAGATTAGTCGCATGGATACTTCGGCAAGAGGCCTTAGGCTATGCTCCCTCTCACAGTCAAGTTCGCGCCACTGTCAATGCCCTCTTACGACAACAAGGAAGGGAAAAGCCTGTCGGTGTACACTGGCTAGCCAGGTTCATGAAACGTCATCCATCCATAAAGGCAAAGATAGGAAAACGCCAGGAGGCGTCGAGGTTCAATTGCTTTACCCCGACCGCTGTCAATTGGTACTTTGATATCCGGGAGAGAGAGTATGGCTGGATCAAACCCGAGAACACAGTTAACGTTGATGAGGGCGGTATAATGGCCGGATTTGGCGAGTATCTGTCGTTTTGGCCAAGATTTTAGCTAATCTACTGCGAATCTAGGCTTGAATTCTTTGGTTGTCGGCAGTAGCGATCCCAGGAAGAAGGCCTTCCTCAAAGGCTCCCAGTCCCGCACTTGGACTAGCTTTATCGAGGCCGTCATGGCAACTGGCCGTCTTCTGAAACCAGAGATTATCTTCAGAGGCAAAGAACTTCAACAACAGTGGTTTATCGATGAGCTCAACAAGATCGCCGACTGGTATTATATCACGTCCGATAACGGCTGGACAGACAACCATATCGCAATCGAGTGGCTCAGAGAGGTCTATCTTCCCAAACACAACCGGAAGATGAGTCCGATGCAAGGCTTATTATATTAGATGGTTATCGAAGCCATGTATCAGTGAGTATCTGCCTGTCCTGAACCTCCTGAACCGAAAGTGCTGCTGACCCTAAATCCAGGATGAGTGGATGGCTACGTGCTTTTTGAATAACATCTATTGCTGTTACTTGCCAGCCCATTGCTCTCATGGCCTACAGCCACTTGACAATGGCGTGTTCAATGCCTCCAAAGCTGCTTACCGCAAAGAACTCCAAAAACTAACAAGCATGACTGATTCTGCGCCGGTGGATAAGGTTAACTTCATTAAGGCTTATGCGAAAGCTAGGGAAGTGGGTATGATGAAGAAAAACATCCTTTCGGGCTGGAGAGTGACTGGAAACTGGCCGATTTCACGACGGACAGCGCTTATGCATCCTGAGATTCAGCCAGACAAGACGGAAACGACGCCTGCATCAGACGGCCATAGGGACGGGCAAGTCGACTCTGATCATACGCCAAAGACCAGCCGCCATATCAGGGATCTGGGGAAGAACAAGAGCCCTTGAACAAGAAGACGGTATTCTGTGATATCAAAAGGATTTGAAGCGCAAGAGTTAAAGATCGCGTCCCTAAGCTCAAGCGTAGCCAGTTTAGAGGAGGAAGTCGGGCGGTTGAGCAGAGGCAAGAAGAGAAAGGCGATACCGAATCCCAACAGGAAGTTCATGACACTAGCCGAGGCTATAGTGGCTGGTGATGCTATTCCAGAGCCACATCAAGCAGCTGAAGAGACAGAGGCTGTTGAGGAAGTGATCGAGGTGGGAGGAGTGGAAGAGAATGAGGGCTCAAATTCGAAGGCGGAAGAGTTACCTGTCGCACGCACGCGCGCAGGGCGAGCAGTTAAGAGACCAAAAGAATATTAAAATACATTCAATTTCGAACTGGAAAACAGCAATCAGCTTGTTATTCCTATTTTTGGTGACTCTTTGTGAGGGGGTTGAAAAATAGCAGTTTGTATGGGGAAACTTTTTTTTTGCTTGCCGGTAGGTGGGTACTGCATGGTACATCTTGGCAATTGTCAAGTCATTCTCCTTTCCTAGTGCCTTCGCCGCACCTGGCAGCACCTTGCCGGATAAATCCAGCACCGCAGTTCTATTTGCGCCATCGACCTTGACCGGGTACAACTAGTCTCGGAGGATTCTCGCGCCCTTGGCTGTCAAGCAACCAAGCGGCTACAGTACCCCCAAAAGCCCCGAAAAAGGCGACACAGGCAAGCCAACCTAGTCATGTTTATTCAAGATCAAAGCGTTCCCATGGCCAGCCTTCTCAAAGATCTGCTTCTCTCTAACCAATTCGGCCAACATGGCACCTGGCCCCTCTTCACCCTCCGTGCCATGTCCGTGCTACTACGTCTACAAGCAGTGAAAGGCTGCCTGGCTGTGACTTGGAAGGGCCAAATGGGGTACAAACCCTGTCTCTATGACATGCACCCCTGCAATGGTTCATCTACATGATAAATTGCTGATTGTGGCCCCCTGCATAGCGTCACATTGAATTAATCTCTCTTCCCGCTTTAGCCTTTCAATCGATCTCGCTGTTGGCAAGAAATGGGATCCAACCTTCTCGGTCGCCTAAACAGCTTCCTCTTATGACGCTAGCCTATGATATTTCCCTGTGTGAGAGCCAGAATCCCGCATTCCTTCAGCGGAAAAAGAGAGATTCTCTCCAGCATTGCTCAAAAGCACCTTCATGCATTCGTCGCACCTTAACTTAACATATTTGCTGCATGAGTATTAATTCACTTGAGTGGCTGGTGCGGCATGGCTCGTCCCAAGTATCCCCCTTCTGCTCCATCGTCAGTTTTATAGCTCCTCGGGCGATTGACTTGGATAAGTCAGTCAATTCGTGCACTGTGCTAAGTTGCGATTCAGTCACAGTTGCTTCCTCGGCTGACCTCATTGTCCGTGATATGATGCCTGAAGGGTTGATTTGACCTGACCTATATCCACTATATCGCGACCCCTTGCTCGGGTAGATGCTATTGCCAGACTTGCCCTGTCGTCGAAGGTCGTCAATACGGATCTGGCCGGATTCCAGGCTGTTGAAAAGGGGCCTAAAGCTGGGAATGCAAACAGTGACAATGGAGAGGCACTGGACCAGTTGTAAAGCGATAGCAGCTTCCCAGTTCGCGAAGGTGAAATCGGTGGAAGCGAATGCCTTGTTGGAATGGTAGATTTGAACCGCAATTGCAGGTGTTATACTTTTCCGTCGTTGTTAGTGCCTTCTGCTGCACACAAGCTAGACAGATCCATTACTAGTGTGGGAGTAAAACATACAGGATTCGACTGCCAAAAACGCTCATGACTAAAATCTTCTTAGACCATGGTATTTGGATTTTCAGAACGTTTTCGCAAAAAACAATAATGATACCAATATCCGTGGTGATATTCGTGATGGAATAATAAGTCCAGAAAGCGGTTCGGTCGATACATCTTTTATCGTTGGTGTATATCCATGGCGTAGGTAGTTCACACTGGAAAAGATTGATGATAAGCGCAGAAGCTCCCCACCCGCCAACGACGGCCTCAAAGCCAAGAACAATCCATCTCTGGCTTTCTCGGCTCATCATCCGGAGACCAACTGTGCATGATAGCTTGCAACAGAAGACGGAGGTGATGAACATGGTGTTGGCCGCATATTGGCTCTATATTCATAGACTCGGTCAGATATTTTATCCATGGCTCTGCGGGTTGCAGCTGAGATATCTACCTTGAAGAATATGACGATTTCGCTGGAGTCCAGACTACTAGCTGGCTTCCCCAGTCCATTATCACACGCTATGAACGTAGCGATTGACTGCCCAATTGCAAAGACCTACAGCTTCGCGCATAAGCGCAGGATGGTTAGAGATCTCGCTTCATGGACCGCGCTATTAGGTCTCTACACACAGTTGCGGCGATGGTAAGAATATCATCGACCCTCAGGGTTTTGATCATACGGATCTTGGTTCCTATGCGGACAGAGCATGACAAGAGGAAGATGACAAGAAACATCAATGCCAAGACCTGTATTAAGGGAGACTTGTTGGTGTCGGTGATGACCTTTTGCGTAGGATGCATATTGGGCAAAGCAATTGCCATACAGGTACGATGATGGAGAAACAGAACAGTCAAGCGAAAGTATTGAAAGAGTATAAGTATTGAGGACAAACAAATAGAGAGGATTATTGCAGTTGAGAAAGGTGATGAAGAAAACCAAGGATATTAAAATCCGAGGTTAGGAAGCATTGACGTGAAAGGGATCGGAGTGACATCTTGAAAACCGCGCAGGAAGAGGGCCGGGCGATGTTATTGGCCTCGTTGGGCCCTCACTTCATGTCCTCAACATACCATACGCTCTTTTGAAGGCAGCGCATCGGTCGTCAGTTACTCCTCACTTATGTGACGCGGCACAATTTATTGTCACTGTCGGTACTGAGGCTCTGTCGGCAGGAGAGATGGCTGGAAATCATAGCCCATCCACTAGGGCCGTCCCCCGCTAGGGCCGCTTCCTCTCAACCGCCCTCTCCAACTACCGAAAGATAAAGAAGTAAATCTGAGACAGGCGAAAGTTTATCGACTCTTAAATATGAGCATCACAGGTCACGAAACGCCATTGGGGCCTGGTCAAGGTCAACAACAACCACCCGGTAAGGACATCGTTGAGTAGTTCCATCAAGCGTACTGAATGGATCAAACTTGTGAGTGTGGCATATACAAGTTTCACAGTTCGAACAAAGACATATTGGAATAAAAGATGATCAGAGGACACGCTTCGTTCGCCACAAGGCTGCAAGCTCAACTAATGCCGAGTTCAGGTACATTGATAAGAGCAACATTTTCTGAAATGTCATCGCACTAGCCTCCTTCGATGACATTGTGATAATGGTCTCGACTCTTTTCGAATTATGGCTTTACCGGAGTGATCTAGCCCCCTTGTTTGACACACACTAGTCTCAGGAGTTTGGGCCGGACGCTTGGACGAGGTCTTATCGCTAGCTCCTGTCTCACCCGTGATATTGCCCTGTCTAGAGGCGGAAGGGCTTGCACTAACTCTTACAGTGAATGACTTATCAGTCTTGACTAACCATGACGCCAGACGATGTGATGCTGCGAGCAGATAGGTAAAATTGACTCAGATGGTCTTCCTGAAGTTGTGCGGCTTCTGTTTATGGATTGATTCTCGTCCCAAAGTGTGTTAGGCGCACAAACAACCCGGCTTCACTGATGAGCAAAAGTCAGGCAAACCAGTTCTACGAGTGATTAACAATTACATTGGGCCCACGAAACATTTAATATGGGGGAACTAAATGATATAACGACCGGCCGATGCCTAGTGGTAGGTCCTCAGCAAAGCTTTGGGACAATCTAGATGGAGCGGCCTGGCCCTTGTTTCTCAATCAAAGGATGGTTTTAGCTATAAGCCATAACATATATCTGGCTGTATATCGTCCCGTGATCTCTTAAAAGATGTGCATACTGCGTGCTTCCATGCCATTACCGCGTGCCTGGTAGAGCTAACCCCAAGGGCGTTTCTGATAGCACTGACATATATAATAGGCGACTGACCCAGATTATGATACAAATATCTCCATTTATATAACTCAAGTCTAAATTCCGAAATGAATTTTGGAAATTCGAGTAATACTTCAAGCTAGTAACAGCTGAGATTGAAATAAGTTAATCAAAGATGTATAACGTGTTTGATAAGCGAGTTGACCAGACAAGTGAGTTGATCACTCTTATTTCCACCTTAAATCCGGTTTTTAAAATAATCTTTAAAAATCCAAGTTAAGCTTAAAATAGCTATAATTTTTATAGCTTCTATATAAGTCTTAAAATAAGCTATATTAATTTTCTGAGATCTTTTAAAAAACTATATGTAGCTATAGACCTTAAAACCTATTTATACTGTATTTTATACTGTATAATTAAGCTTTTCTATATAAAGTAAAATAGCTAAAAATCTTTAAAAATTACTATTTAATAAGTTGAACTATACTATTAGTAAAAATATTTTTTTCAGACTTTTAGCTATTTTATTTATAGCCTAAGAATGCTATAGGGTAGGGTGTTTATAGTTATACAGTGCAGTGATCAACTCGCTTGTTTGGTCAACTCGCTTATCAAACACGTTAACCTATAAATATAAAGAACTATATATTATATTTATGTTTTGTGTAAGCTCTTAGTCGCATGGAGTCGCTCGGGGTCAGACGATTGCCAAGTTTCCCTACAGAGCACGTTGGTTGATGATGGTTGTTTTCCCCAAATCGGTCTCTTCCCCAGTACTAGTAGGACGGGATCCTGTTTTCAGTTGGGGCTTAGGGCACGGGCCCATTACGCCTCCAACACTAAACCCAGTCTTGACACCGGCCCACCATAACTATGCGTTCCGCTACTTTGGGCAATGTTGACCAGGGCGGGCCTTGATGACTCCACCTTGTCGATCTAGCTAAATACGTTGATGGGAAAAGACCTGCAGAGTTCTGCAGCTTCGCCCTGACTAAGGGCCCCCCTCACTTCCACAGCTATGGCCGCGGGTGAACAGATGTTGTGGCTTGAATTGGATTGCCCACGTTGGATCTTCTATGCTACGTAGTACAAAATAAAATAAAGTGCGGGACCTTGCAGGATTTTGGAAGGACCAGATATGACAGGTGTTGGCTTGCATGTCCAAAAGCAGCACGTTGCATTGAGAGGCCAAGCAGATGGTGGCAACAAGGCCGCTGCAGGGGTCATGGCAGGATGGATCTTCCCTAAGCTCCGCATCAGTTCGCTAGATCAAGGGTCAATGCGCGGAAGTATCTCCCCGAAAAGCGATGTCACATGCCAACGTAGTGATTAAACTTGCAGGTATGGCCTCCCCCACCCGAGACCATGGTTTGGGTCACATCCAGGCTCCGCATTTGAGAATAAGAAAGGTACAGATAAAGAGAAGTCATCTTTATTATAAGATTAATCCTATCATTTCGTCCATTCATCAGACGCTATTCTCCCAGTTGATATACATATCGAGAACGTCCTCGCCGCTGCCTCTGGCCTCTACTTTAAAAGTCCTTCTCATACATGCCGCGGAGATGCGGAGGAGTGACCTCAGACATCTTTGTGTGACCCAATCTTTGGTGGCTACCATATGCTGATATATCATACAGGCTATCCTCCCAAGCGTTTAGCTCGATCAGCCACCTTCACAACGACCTGGTTCCTCACCCAGCGATACTGACCTAGCGGCCGGTAGATAGGAAAGGAAAAAAGGACACTAAAGAAAAAAAAGGAAAATCACAAAAACTGCAGCGCTCATACCTGCTGGAGGCTGTTGGTTTGACATTTCTCGCCTCAATGTGCATCGAACAACCGGAGGTTATCTCCGCGATGACCCTGCGTGTGTAACGAGACCCCTGATCACGACTCCACTATCAACGCTTTCACATACCGTTGGGACTTATGGGCGAGGTAGTTCTGCATGAGAGGGCAGTTACACCCCAACTGCTGTAAGATTTGTATCTTAAGCTCATATACCTCGAGGGATAAGTCGGCTACGCAAGTGGAAAGCTCGCGGTGGACACGTGCTAGTTCCTGCGTGCGAGACGTGAGTCTCGATACCTCTTCCCTCTGCTTGATACGGAACTTAGGCGCCGTAATGCGATTTCGTTCTTCGACTTTTTTTTTTAACGCGATCGTTGCTCTGTTGGGTTGAATGACTGCCGCTGCTACTGGTACTCTTTGTGCGACAAGTAGTAGACTGTCTTTTGTTATTCGGCCTTAGATTAGGGTTTTCATGCATTAAATAGCTTCATCTAGCCGATTTACGAATCGAAAAACCCTCAGGATTATGATTCTGCTGCGGGTTCGGATCCTTTGCCGCTAGGGGAAGGTACGAATGAACTTGGGGAGGAGACAATTCCTTTGTAACTATATGCTTAGGGATTGATAATGGACTCGCGTACTCCGTGGTAAGATCAAGACCATTCCACCAATAGGTAGAGTCGATCATAGGGTTGATAGAATTCCAAGGGCTTATTGAGGTTGGTATCGTAGTTATGGACGGAGCTTTCGAATAGAGGACTAGCATATCGCGGATGCGCTGCTGCGATCAGAGCCCTACTTGCGAGAATTGTCCACCATAGCCATCCGCAATGCCAAGAACCATCAGGCTGCAACGACGGAATGACGTCCCCTGCCGGACTCGTACGTCACAGAGGGTCAATTGGTCAATGATCAACGCTCGGGCCTCCTTCGAACTGACGGTAGTTGATGAGCTGCCCCTGCAAACTTGTAGTTAGCCACCTCAGCTCCACAAACGCACTGTCCAATACGGCTGGCAAAGTGCATAACTGCTTTGGCGTTGTCGCAGGTTTGCGTTTCAGGCAGCAATGGTTTAATGACATTTGGGCAATATGAGTTGAGAAAATGCCTTATCTTGCCGTTTTATCCACCTTATCTGCCGCCGTACACGAAGCAACTTATCGGCATATATCGTGTAAGGCGAGAGACTAAGCTCGGTTATAGCTAACACCTGTAATACAGCAGGAGGTTTTCTTCTTTGAGGGCGAATCGGTAATACAGATCATCTGGTCAGGACTCATCGATCTCGGCGGAGCGGGCCGGTCTGCCCAACGACGACTTGATGCTGACATGGTGTGCTGGGTAGGCGTGTCACACAACTGAGGAAAATACGACAGCCAATGATTGCCCATTCCCATCGTTTCGAATTGCTGGCCTGCATTGTTAGTTTGTCACAAATGTCACTGCACGGCCGATGGCCCTGTGCATCCGCTACGTAGTCAGCTGCCCGCTATTAAGCCCCTCTGTGCGGAGTAGCATGTGTCGAAGTCTGCCTTGCTTACCCTATCAAAAGGGCTATTGTGGCTGCAGCTAGTCAACTAAGCCATTTTTAAGCCTTCGACAGGGTTTGCATCAAAGCCGAAAACGGCAATGGACCGAGGTTGTTTTCTCTTTCCCCCAAGAGCTTCAGAAATTGTCCAAACCGGCCGGTAATGCAGAGGGTTTCGGGTCAGCCAGCTCCATCACACCATCGCAGTCTTTAATATCCTTTAGCACTTTGCCTTTTAGCTGATGCACTTGTCGAAACTGCAACTCGATGTTAGCGCCGGGTCGAATGGCTGATTTACAGAGCCGACAAAACAGCATCTGATATTCCTCGTTCAAGTGGATGCAATCCTCCATTATTTCTGGCTTGATGTAGATGTTTGCTTTGAGTCTGTTTATGTCTATCCACAAGCTACTCCATGCTGCGTAACCCTTACCCCAAGTCGGCGCTAGCTAACCCTAAGCACCAATCAGCGACTCGGCTTCGACTAAAGCTATACCGGTAAGAGCTAAATATGTTGACCCCGTAACCCCATTTTGGTGAACGATTTGGCCCAAACCGCCTGTGAATAATACCTAGGCTCGCTATGTTACCCCTTACTGCTCAAGCCTCCGGACGTAGGCGACTGGGCCTTCGTAACGGTGAGTACCATGGAAGACGTAGTATACCAAAGAGGACAACGCTACGGCGCCGTAGATTAGAATACTCCAATTCATCTGTAATGCCGTCGGGTTGGGGTTACCAGGCATGAATGCCAGGACGAAAGTGACGACAAGGAAAGCCTCGGAGACGATGTTTATCGCGAGACCCCATCGACCAAGACTGAACTTGGATGGCAGAAGCGGGCTCTTTGTACATCGTCGCCATATCATACAGCCAATAGAGACCATGTAGCTGGAGAGAAGCCCTGTTGTTGCCAAAGAAGTGATTGAGTTCAATGCGACAGCAGAGCCGATGTTGATAAGGGAAAGAAGACTTGAGATTAGGAAGGTCGTCAGAATTGCATTAATGGGGACATCCCATCCCGCTGGGACCTCGGAGAACCAAGGACTGAATGGAACGGCATGATCTCGCGCGAATGCGAAGAGCTGACGCGACGATGTGGACACCATGGTGACATTGGAGAAGGCAATCATAACAACAAGGATGGATGCCATGGCAGTAGCACTGCTCACTGACTGCGTCGTGTTATAGAAAACCTGCATGAATGGCTGGCCTGTTGGAGACGTGATGACCTCTTCAAGGTTACCTATGCAGAAGCAGTATGTGATAACCATGATCCATCCGAAAGCACCATTGAAGAGAGTCGTCATGATCATCGAACGCGGCAAAGTACGACTTGCATCGTGCAGTTCCTCGGACATATGGACAGCAGCATCCGCACCTAGCAGTGGCAAAACGCCTGCAAGAATTCCCACGAGCGTCGAACCTCCTATGCTATTCCAACCTCCCCCATCGCTAAACTGGGTAAAGACAGCTTTGGCATCAGCCCTTGGCGAAAGAACCCAGAGAGTAACAAAGATGCCAAAAAAGGCGAAGACGTGAATGACCAGGACAATAGCTTCGATCAATGGCAATTTCCTGGCTAGGAGGATGTTAAAGAGTACCGAGAACGCAGCTATAGATATGGTGAGTAGCGTGCCGTGCCATGGCTTGGGGACGTAATCTGGGTTATTCAGAACGATGAGGCCCTGAATCTGGGTGCCAGTGATGAAGGCAGAGGATGCACACGATGTTTGCCAGCCGAGTACGCACATCCATCCCATAAGATAGCTGATGAGCTTCTGGTACTGTGGTGGCGCGAATTCGGAAACCCAATGGTATTGTCCTCCCGTCGTGGGTGCCCTGCACAAGGTTCGCGTCAACAATCTGGCCACATGTTGTGTATGGGGAGGATACTCACATTGAAGCCATCTCAGCCATGGAAGTGTTGACGAATAAAAATCCCATCCAGCACACAAAGAACATCCAGATCGTACCAGCAGTACCGCCGTTGATGAGTCCGATAGTCGAGACACTTCGATTGACAGGCTTCGTTAGCTAACCGGCGACCAGACTACTTTTATCTGCATTCTTTACCTCAAAGAGAATTCCCAAGATGCCATTAGAATCATGGAGAAGCCGAAGATGGACAAGAAGCGAAAATTTCTCTGTGTGATGTCGCGTTAGCCCAGGACAAAAGGGTACAAGCATTGGTACGAGCCGTCATTTCTTGGGTTTTGCCCATACGATACATGTCGGCGCGATCGGCCGCAGTTCCTTTCTTCTCGTCGACATTGTCATTGATGCCGATGGGAGTATCGTGGACGTCGAGGGATCTCTTGTCGTCGTCAATTGACATTTTGGCGGTATTTCTTGACTTCTATGACGGCATAGCCAGATAGAAGAAAGTAAAGGACAAGAAAAAAAGTAGGGAGGAAGAAAAATAAGGCTCGGTAAGAGGAATGCAGGAGTGCGGCATGAACGCGATTCAAAATTTACATCCGATCCAACAGCTGCTTGTTTGCTTGCCAACATATCCATCCTGGTCCAATTGTTACGTACAGCACCCTTCAATGCTACAGGGGTTCAGTCCGCTCGGGCCTAGACCAGACGGGAACCTCCTGTGCCGTCCCGGACTTCGGCAGTCTAGTAGTGCGGGCTTTTATGATGGTCTGATAACCTGTTCGAATATCTCTCCTCGTAGATCAAGCTAACATATATGAAAAGAAATACGCTATTTTCTACGTAACGGGGTATCACAAATGATACCTTCATACAAGCTGCTTCTCACAATTTTCACATATTAATCTGCATCATGCTTCAGCTGACAACCATCATGGTGGGCTCATATCTCCTCATTTCGTCCAGGGTCCTCGTATGGATCCATCCATGCAGCCACAGAACCATCAGTCAAAGCGTCAGCAGCCCACAGATGTGGGTACGGTACTGGGGAGGCATTTGGCTTCAACATTACATTCGGCCTCTTCTGGTACGCAATAGCAAGCACTTTACTTCTGACTATTCTGTTGGTGCACCCATGCCCTATCCCCTGGATTTAGGTGCATCGTTAGCAGGAATCTCTTGCGCAACTGAAAGTTAAAGTTTGCAGGCCTTTGCGAGAATAAGATGTTGGCTGGTCGGAAATTAGGAGATATATTCCGGTGGCGTTGGTGGCTGTAGAGTCCGAGCCCTGAACATTGACGTCTGTCAACACTCGAACTGAGGTGGCTTGTGCCTAGGTACTCATGCCGCAAGGGTGAAAATAGAGATTAATAGTCATCCGTTGCCTCTTGAACAGTGCAATGCATCTCCCTCGTAACCTTTTCTCGAGTCCGACTCATTGGTCTCTAGCCATGGATCCAGAGACATCAGATAACGACGGTTCATATCGATTCTCCCCTGTCACGTTCAACGACCACGCCGGTCAGTTGTGGATCGTGACAATTTTGTCGCTGATCTACAGCACGCTTGTGGCTCTGGCACGGATATACATCAAGTATGGCAAGTTCGGTTTCGATGATATTCTTTTTGCTTTGGCAATGGTGAGGATGCCTATCAGATCTGCATGACACTCTACATATAGACTAACCACCCAGGTCTTTCATTTAGCTCAGTCAATTACTGTCTTTATTGGTTTGAGTAACGGCCTCGGCAAGTTCAACTCTATCACGACACCAGAACAATGGGCAACAGCTTCAAAAGTCAGCCTTGTGCGCTACTACTACTACTACTATCACTAGCTAACACGGCCACTGCCAGTCAACTCTCGCGGCCGGTATCCTCTGCCTTTTAACTCTTAGCCTCGCCAAATGCTCTGTCCTCGCCCTCATCCGACGCATCGTTGGCTCGAAGCCTGGGAAGAGTGAACCGGTCTGCATCGGGCTCATGGTAATCACTGTAGTATGGGGTGCCGGCTCCTGTTTGGCATGGCTTGTGAACTGCCACGCGGATTCTTTGTTGGCTTTGGATAACGTCAAGCAATGCCCGCACCAGGTATGAAAACACTTTGATCCTCCCGAGGACTCATCATCAGATGCCTAACCAAAGAATTCATATTAGAATACACGTTGGGCCGTCATAACAGCGATGGACATCTTGACCGAGATCCTTACCTGGCTCCTCGTACTGCAACTATCCTGGTCCGTCAACATTTCATACATCCGCAAGTGTCAGGTTGTTATGGCTTTCTCATTCCGTATACCGCTCATCGCCCTCTCAGCCGTTCATCTGGCGTATTCTGCAACAAATCCAGCCTCTACTGAGCCTCAATTCGCCGTCACAAAGTCCCTACTCTGTCAACAGATCATGATTGCTTGGTCGCTCATTTCTGCCACTGTGCCAAACCTGAAGAACTTTTTAAAGTCATTCTCTATAGGGATGGGGTTTCCAGTTTCCTTTGACCTCAGTATGTCTGGATCAAGCAACGTCTACGCACTTCAGTCACTTAGAAATAATCGCGCTGGAGTTACATCATCCGCGGCTGTGGCAACTGCAGTAAATTCGACATCTGATAGCGCTGCCCGTAGCCAACCGCACAGTTGGAGGCCGGACCAGGTCTCAAGTCAAACAACGGCAGCACGCGACTCTGGCAGCAATAGTCGGGATGATATATCGGAGGAAGGGCGGAACTCTAGGGCTGGCAGTCAAGAAGTGATCATTAATAAGGCGGTGACGTGGAAGGTCACGTATGAGGACAACCAATATATTAGACGCTGAGTGCTGGCAATAAACTGGATAGAACGGTTTCTTTGGGATTTGAAAAACATGGGCTCATAGATTGTTAGCTTTTAGAGTCTGTAGCGATTTAGACAAATGTACAGTAGCTAAGTTTCATTGGGGTGGAGCCATACCTGTAAGGCCATGGGAGAGATGCCACGTCAGGTTCGCGCGAAACACTTCCTAGTCGTTGACAACCTTAACAACCAATAATCTCATTTCTGCCCGTGTAGGATCTGCAAGCAAGGATCGAAGCGGGCCAATCGGATCACATTAAATCACGCGTGCTGAAACACTACCTGGTCTAGACCATCTAAAGTCATTGTCACGGAAGATATAAGGGTCCTAGATCTTGCACTCCACATCACATCACGTTTATCTTTGTCACCTGGCTCGGATGCAAATCATGTCTGAGATTGTATTGCGCGATGCGTGTTACTCCGAACTTCCAGAGATTGCCCACATCATGTCAGAGGCATTCTGGAAGGATAACCTATTTGGCGAGCTCATACACCCCCATCGCAACGAGTATCCCGATGATGTACACCTGTACTGGCTGCGACGGGCACGGGTCAACTTTTGGGACAATCGCTCGAGATGGCTCGTTGCTGTGGCCACAGACGAGAGTGGTCAGGAAGTTATTGTCGGCATTGCTCAGTGGGCAAGACTGGGGGATGGGGGCCAAAAGCTTGAGTGCTGGTATTTGGATCCTCGTGAGTGTCTCATCTAATTAGCCTCAAGCCTATTTATACAGGCAAAGCTAACCCATCGACCCAGGAAACCTTCTCAAGCCTTTATCTTCTATTGCCATGAACATCCATGCTTGGGCCTGGCCTAATCGCGCGAGCGACCCCAAGGAGGAGGACATCATAGAGCGGGCATATCCTCATTTCGAAGACATATGGAGCGGAAAGCGCGCCGAGTCCTGGTATCTCGAAGGATTAGCAGTGCGTCCAGATTTTCAGAGGAGAAACGTGGGCCGGAAGCTTGTGCAATGGGGTCTCGAGCAGGCCAAGGCTGAAGGTATTTGCGCTTCGGTTGTTAGTGCCTTTGGCACAGAGGAGTTCTATAAGAAATGCGGGTTTGACGAGCAGTACGGAAGCGCCAGACAGGGTGAGGGTAACCCCTTGGCGGATATTGAGGGTGCTGACATGTTTTGGAAATGGCCTGAGGCTTAAGTCCGGCTATGACACTCAAGATTGATTGCAGCAGTCCTGATGTCTAGCTTTTGAGCAGAACCCTTACATGGTTCCAGATATTCTATATACAATTATGCTCTTCTTCGAGAGCTACAGGATCTTTTGGATAGTATTGAGTGAGGTCTCAATGCTCTATGAGGTTATATATCTCGGAAACCTCCGCTGGAGTTTACTTGCGTATGCCAAGAGTCGCGCCAGCCTTTCCCAAAATCCGATGACGGGTCCTATAACTCGGAAAGGGACCATCTCTCCAGGGTCTCCTCCGCGTATAGATGGGTAAGACCATATAGGCGTTGACCATGACAGAAAGGTTAGCAAGAGGCGTGCATCAGCGCTGCCGTCAGATCAGATTAACAATCAGATATATCAATCAGATCAATCAATTCAATTCAGATATGGAACCTAGTCAGACCAAACAAATCAGATTTGAGTTTCTGAATATCTAATATATCTGATATCCCTTAGATGCCCCGAGGATGCTTTGATTGCATTTGGTTCAACTGCCAGTCCGTATCCTAGAGTATTCAACGTTGACCATCGGTTGAAATGTATTTATGTATGTATGTATATTTTTCGTCCGGGGGGCCATCGGCCCCGAAAGTCCCCTACTGGGGCACAGGACGTGCTGAGCTAGAGAAGTCGGAATCTATCTACACACTATTTACAGAAATGCGATTGGCTACAAAGGATTGGTCATTCGCAACGCGAAATTAGTCTTCACCTCGGCATCCAGTTTCTGTAAACACGTCAATAGGACGCACTCTATCCAGCATATCATCGGCACAAATGGCGCATCCTATCGAGCCTGTTACCCGTCAGCCGGATGACAAGGCGCGGCTGGCATATCGCAGCCGCTGATGAAGCCTGATGTCAGGAGAGCTGAGATCAGCCTGTGCGTGTGGCAGCTTAAGACTGCCTCAGTAGTGGTCATGGCCAGATGAAGGGCGCTGGTACGCCCTTCGTCTGGCCAAGAACAGGTAAAAGAGAAAGAGAGAGATTGAACAAAGGAGATGAGTAGAAGATAAAGAGAGAAAGAGAGATGTGAGTGCTTCTCTGGTCGTTGTCGCCTAATGGCGAGGGCATATCTTTCTAAAGAACGCGCTGTCCTTGGACAGGTCGATGAATTTGGTGAAGTCTTTTCCTATTGCTAGATTGACTGCTGTATTCGGTGAGGGTGTGAGCCTCACTTGATAACGCGGCGGTATTTTTCTGCAATAGAAGATATGATCTGGTGCTTTGCGTCGGCTACATGAGCAGACCAAGCGTGCGTTGATATGGTCGAATTTTTCGTGGTATGCGGCGAAGTCCCCGTGGAGGGATCTCGCTGCCAGCAGATGGTGCAAGGCTGCACGTGGGAGCGACAGCTCTGGCGGGCAGCCTGTGGTCGCCATGAGATTGAGTCTCTTGTACTGCTCAGGAGCGGAGGCTGACCACCATGCTTCGAATGCTTCTTTCGGTTTTTGTCGCGCGATCTTTCGTAGGTAGGCCAGCGTTGGTCGAGCCCCTTCAGGCTCCGGGAGTGATGATGCTGCTTTTGCCAGCTTGTCGGCCTGTTCGTTGCCAGGGATGTCGGAGTGTCCTGGTACCCAACGAACCTGGATGGCGCCATGCGATGTCGCCAGAGCCTGGAACTCGAGAAAGACGTCTTGAGAGGAGTCAGAGGGTGTGCCTCGTAAGCACATGGCAGCTGCCAGGTTGTCTAGGCATATGTAAATGTTCTGTGCTGCTAATTCTCGCAGGTTTAGGGCAGCCTTCAGGCCCTCTAACGCCCCGGTAGCTTCAGCATCGAAAACCTCAGCGGGTCCAAGGCGGCCCGATCCGTCAAAGATTGGGACTTTGTCCTGATGAATGGTGAAGCCATAGCTGGCAGCCCCTTCCGAGGACAGAGAGCCATCCGAGTATACAACCAAGGTGAGGGGGTCGAGTGACTCGACCCAATGGGAAAAGGCGTCGGCCGATTTGTCTTTTGACGCCATCTGAAGCGGAGGCAAAAGCTCTTGATGGAAGCGTCGCTGGATGAGTTTCGGTCGCGCGCACGGCGCAAGGAGCTCATCTGTACGTCGAAGACGTGTTCGGAAGCTGCTTTCCGTCTGTGCTTGATATCTTCGTTTGATGAGGTCGTGGTAAGCAGGTTGGCTGGGCGGGCGCGTTCGACTCGCCAAAGGGTGAGCCTCATCTAGCGATTTGAGCCGCGCAGAGAATCGGAGTCGCCGTGCTTCGAGGAGTTGCGCGACTGGCGGTATCCCACTTTCTCGGTGGAGAGCAGCAATAGGTGTTGTCTTCCAGACGGGAAGTATAGGTCTCATAGACTGGTTCATGGCCTTGGTCATTCTCTGTATGAGATGCTGGTTGCTTGACGATAGGTCTTTGGTGGGTTGATTCCATCGCGGTCTGGTTGTGCCCGGGTACCAGGCCTCGGCGCCGTAGAGTAGCACGGGCTCAACACATGCCCTGACGGCACTTCGTACGGCAGCCGGCAGCGGGCCGTGTTTCGTGTTGGTGAGTCCTCGCAGATGGTAGGCCACGGCTTGCGCTGCCCACTTCTCTACATGGATTCGGAACGATAGCCTGCTGTCAAGCCAGATGCCCAGCCAGCATAGGGCTGGCTCGGGATGTTTCTCGATATCTCCGTGACGTACCGCTGGAGCGGTCCTGAGTTTGTTGCGAGAGAAGTGCATGACTTCGGTCTTCTTCGAGTCGAAGGAGACGCCGTTTGTCGCGCCCCAGCGCACCATCTCGTCGATGGAACTGGATGCCATAGCGGCAGTTTCATCTACTGTATCGCCTACGAACAGGATGGCTGTATCGTCGGCATAGCCAAAGCGGCCTTGGGGGTTGCCCAATCGGTAGATGGGCTCTGTATAGAGCAGGAAAAGAATCGGCAATACAGGCGACCCCTGAGGGAGGCCGCACTCGAGAGGAGAGGAGGATGTGAGGGTGTCTTGATATCTGACACGGGCCGATCGGCCACTCATAAAGGACCCTGCCCATCTAGCCAGATGATCGGGCCATCCTTGTTCGCGTAGACGCAGAACCAGCCTGTTTCGCATGACGGTGTCTAATGCACCTTGGATATCCATCGTGACCAGAGTGGCTACCTTCTTGCGTGCAAACGCCTCTTCGATATCATGGATCAGGGCGGTTACTAGGTCTGTTGCCGACCTTTTGGGGAGAGCCCCAGCTTGTTGTGGGTGAAGGACGCTGTAGTGAATAGCTGCCCATGCTAGACGGCGTGCGATCAGCCGTTCTAAGCCCTTGCCGAGGCAGGAGAGCAGAGAGATAGGTCGCCAAGCCCGTGGCGACGTGAGATCTCGGCGTCCGGGTTTGGCGATCATGACCACTTCCGCCTCCCTAAATGGTTTCGGGTGGTGGCCTGCAGAGAGGCATCTCTCGAATAAGCGGCGGACGTGCGTGCCGATGGTATGCCATCCGGCTTTAAGAAGGTTAACGGTGATATTGTCTGATCCAGGAGATGTATGGCCTGTATGGAGGGTTGCATACTGTGCCTCGTCTAGGGAGATTTCGAGTGGAAACGGGATCAGTCTAGGAGGAGAGACTAACATCCAAGGGTCTTGGATGTCGTCGTCTGCAGTTCGTCGTTCCAGCGTGGCTCGTCGGAGCGCGTTAGCCTTGTCTATCTGAGATCGTAGACGACGTCGTCAACCTGCAGTGGTGGCGGCTGGAAGGGCCCTGGGGACTTCAACCACCGAACGGCTTTGAAAACAGAGCTACTTTCGGAGAAGGTGTCGATGAGATTCCGCCAGTAGAGCCTTTTGGCTCGGCGGACTACGCGATGGAAGTCTCGTTTGGCGATTTGGACTTCCTTGTTGAAGCCAAGAGGGTAGAGTCTTCTGATTGCACGAAATGCAGCTGCGGCGCCGGCGCATTCTTCGGTCCACCACCACACTAAGATCGATGAAACTGCACCTCTCCTGAAGGTGTTCCGAGCTGCTGACGAGTGGTCTGAGCACACACAAGCTGTGTCTGCACAGATCTTCCTTCTGGGCTCTCATTTGGCTGTAGATGAGTGCATAATTCGCTATACCGGCCGGTCAAATGAGATAACACTTGTCAAGGGCAAGCCGGACCCCCTAGGGTTCAAGATCTGGGTTATCGCGCAACAGGGCTTCTTTATCCGGTGGCTGTGGCATATCAAGGATGCAAAATACGGCGCCGTTGGCGTTGAACTTCCCCCACCGACGTCATCCGCACGAGGCCGGGCCACGGCCGCAAGGAAGATGCCTGCTATAGAAGACAAGCCTATCGCCTTGAACTCGACCCAGAGCGTCATTGTTGCCGTTGCAAATATGCTGCCAAAAGCGACATATCATGTTTTTGTAGATAACCTCTTCCGGTGCCTCCGCAAGCATGGCCACGGGGCCACAGGCACGGCCCGACCTAACTGCGGCATCGATAAGGAATTACAACAGGATACGAAGGCTGACGGGGGGCCAAAGCCAGCTATGAGTTTAACCAAGTCAAGGTGATCCTGACCCCTGACAATCAGGTATTAGCTTCAGACACTTTTATATATAAAATCCCTACTAATTTGTCAATGTGCTATACTTCTAGGTCAACCAAATAGCCTGGAAAGATAACCGCCTTGTGTTATTCCTGACCACTGTGTTCACCAGCGATGAGCGAGTCAATCGAAAGAGGAAGAGGCCGTCTTCCAAGAAGTCAGAGGCCAAGCCGATACAGAATATTTTTGGTGATGAAGCTGTCAAGGTGATACCATGCAGTACCCTCCTGCCGTACGTACCCACCAACACGAAACATGCAGGCCAAAGCCCGGAGATATCTTGCCGTCGAGGACCAACAAAAGGAGGTTGAGGAATTTGCTCCTTTCTCAAAGATGCATTGCTTTCTATTCTATTCCTTTATCGTGGATTATCATTATCCGCCTCCATCCAACAATGAACACAGTCATTGGTTTGGCTACAAGTGTTGATGCCCATTCTGCTAAAGCGATCTCGCTATCCGAATAACTTATTATGTTTCTACGGCCGAGTAGTGGGGCTTTTCAGATAGACCACGTCCCTCCTTCTCTGTCCTAAACCCAGCTAACTCATAAATCAGGATCCCTCTGGCAAAAAGAGCACTCGCCATCAACCGAATCACTATAATAGCCGAATCCCTCACACTTATAAAGACTAAACTTGAAAGAATGAGAGTCCCGAAGAATGCCTGCAGCGCATCCCCAATATAAAGAGCAGATACCAGCACCAGAAACCAGCCATTGTGCCTGTCGTTTTTCTTGACCTCGAGCCTAGTCTGCCAGGGAGTAGGTGTGAGCTCAGCCCAGAGTCTATGCCACCGTGTACCTCGATTGTTATCTTCTCCGCTTCCTCCTCTTCCTTCCACAGAGATTCTTAATCTGGCAGCCAAGTATCCAACTAGATGTATGACCAGAGCTGCAACGGTCCACATAGCAGGAAGAAAGTCCTGTTGGGGGGAAAATGTACAGACTGCCCATACGCTAAGCTGATATGCGAGGTAGGCATTATTGGCAACGACTCCACTAGCAATAGTATACTCTAGTATGGAGACAATAGTGGGTGCCCAGACTGATTGTGATTTGCCAAAATTGGTATGAAAGGGATCGGCACCCATTGTGGCGATGAAGTCGTCGTACTCTGTTGCTGTAAGAGGACGCACTCCGGAACTGGACATTGAAAGCAGAAAGGCAAGCCCAGGACGACGATACGCCAGCACCGCAGTGTCGAGATACGAGGCACTCATTAATTGAAGAACTGTAGGCGCGAGACCGAGGATGACAGCAGCTGAGGCAAGTTCAGCCTTGCGATACTCGGGCATGGTTTCTAGGACGCAGCCTATGACGTTATAGCCTGATCCTTGATCTGTGTTGGAACGGTTCCTGTAGTTATTCAGCTGCTTGGTGCAGTTATTCCTAAGCTGATCCTGGATGAGGTGCTCCCAGGCCGGGAAGAAATGCTCATACTGAGTGTAAGAGCGCGCTGTTGCGACTGTGGGTGTGATGCAGTAACAAAGAATGATTGCAGCTGTGAGAAGATAGCCTAGATAGCCTTGCTTCCCTCTATAGACGGCCATTGTAGCTAATCGAAAACGTTGGTGAGAAATTAAAAGTCAGATGCTACTCAAGTGGCCAGAGAGAGCTAGATCTTATTATACAATCAGCTGCCCAGCCCCTCTATATCTTAGAACCCTGCCGTGTTGACAAGCAAGGGTACAAAGATGTGACAGTTGAGATGTAAGCCTGTGTAATTTGTAAGCGCTCAGGCTGCCGACTACACAATATGATAAAAACTAAAAAGGGGTACTACACTAGTGGCAATTGAGTCATATATCTCAACACAATAAACAAGCCAATTGAAAGAGTTATATTTCTTAACATTGTAACCGACAGCATCCCCTGCTGGCACAACCGGGCCAATCAACCTAAATCAGGCTCGGAAAGCACGGAAAAGCCGGCACGAATAGCTCGCTTACGTATCCATTGGCAGTTAGATCAAAAGAGTCAACAGTTCTGGGTGGATAGAAGTCCAGGAAACAGCTCCATAGTCCCGTTCCATTGTATTGAGAGGATACGGTAATCTGTTTCCATTGATGCCTATTCCCGATAACTCCGTCCGCAATTTGAGCAGACGCATCGCAGGCCAAAGCCTGCTAAAAATAACATATATTGTCAAGTCGACTGGAAGGCCACTTCTGGTCCTCGGCCTCTATCTAGTTTTTCACCAAGGCCCGGCCCGTAGCGCTTACTTTCGCCAGGGTTCGCTAACTGTACCCACCCGCACGATTGGATGAGCAAGAAACGCTCATGTCAAATCCCATGAATTAATCGACCAAAAATGTCTCGCCGGACAATTAAATCCTCCCTTAACGATGTTCACCTAGTTTCAACCCGATGAGTCAATTGAGTGGGAAGCCTGATAGAAAGCTGAATCGGACCGACATATGTATTAGTAATTACCATTACCATAGATACATTAAGATTGTTAAAAACCAAAAAGGGATACGATCCTAGTGGCTCGGTTCTTCTTCCCCTGACGGTGGGAAACCCAAGAAGCTCCGAGGCCGGTTTTCGGAGTCACCCCGCGTCGCACGCACCACGGACTATGTGGAGTCTGGATAAACACCTGTGACGATCAGCCATGATCACCGAATTGAGCATATAAATGAGGTTTTGTAAGGCTTTGTTTTTCTATTGTAATGTTGTAGAAGAGATCAGCTTTTATAACTGGTTGCTTCTGGGATGAGGGCTTCAAGGGGCCCCATAGGGACACGCCTAGGCGCGCCTCCACACCTGAACGCGTAGGCGGGAGCCCATAGGTTCACGGGTACCCGTGATTTTATTAGTCTTACGGGACCCATGGCAAAGCATGAGTCTACATTATAATTGGCTGTGATTTGCAAAAGAGCGGGCCAAATTTCAGCCAATCACGAGGATAGCTCACAAGTACAATTGCACTATCAGCAAAGTTGCTCGCCGTAGCTATAACAGTACAAGTCATTAAATCGCGACAAAAAGTATTCTCAAGGTAAAGAAGTATCCTAGGAGAGTTTTTGAGATATGTTTCGGAGGCCTGGATGCTACTGATATCATAATTCCGGCACCAATACCCCAGACCGACATGAAAGCTGTAGGCATGTACTGGGAAGAACGTTTGGATCCTTCACATCTGCACAAAGGAAATCAATGGAAAAAAAATGAAAAAAAATGGAAGGAAAAAAAAGACATCGATAGCTTCCGCAATGCTAACAAATGACATATCATTGGTAATTATCTGATTTTCGTTCTTCGAAATCCTTCGCAGGCGAGACAAGAACATTCTGGATGGTGTTAGTGCTCATGTACTTGATCTCGCTTCCACGGGTCCCGTAAGACTAATAAAATCACGGGTACCCGTGAACCTATGGGCTCCCCGCGTAGGCGTGCGGATTATGTCAGCCCTCAATTTGGCCTGTCGAAATTGCGCTGTGATGCAGTTTTTACTTTTGAGAATACTATGATTTCAAATGGTTATGAATTCTTGGTTATCTACCGGAATGAATGGCCTGCTGGGCCTCACTATCTGCCGCTGCCGCCTCCCAAATATCATGCATACCTCTTCTGCTGGAAAAAGGGCTGCGTTCCATCTCCACAGCTACCTGAGCCTTGACACGGTCATCTTCTGCTTTGCTCCAATCTAAATTGGCCATCATCTCCTTTTTAGTCCAATCTCTGGAGCCGTTTGGAGTCTCGCAGCGCTTACCCATCTGCTTCCAATCGAGACACCATTGATAGCTGGATTTGTCGTACCGCAGAGGTAGACCTAGCGCCCTCCGATACTGCTGGTTAGTTTTAATACTGCCACGAGGCTGCACCTTGTACCAAGCTGTTGAAGTAAAAAGAGGTTGATTGTGTTGTTGTTAGTTCTAAGTTACATGTGTCCGAGAGGAGCACAGCTCCCTACATAGTATCCACCTTCGCCGCACTGTCTCAACATAAAGGAGGGCTAAAACTGGCTTGTCGGCTTGTTCGCTGTCGTTTTTCACGGTGTATTTGATTGCTAAGGCTTAAGCTTCGCGGCCTATGAAGGCCTATACGTCGTTCAACTGCAGGGGAAGACATTATGGAAGCGATAAAAGATATTAGATCAAGACCTTGGAACGCGTCTACGCTCCTAGAGTTATTACGGCTGGTTCGGAGCTAAGGTCGAAAAAGTGTGGAGAGCTAAAGCTGTAGTACTTTTAGTGTAGGGGGCAGAACCCATGATCTACTAACAATTAAAAGTTTAGCGAATTAAAGCCCGTGAAAGTCATGTCTGTATCAAAACCGTCATGCCGCTCTATCAATTCCCTATTTAAATGTTTGAATAAATCTTTCAAACGACAAATCCAGTGTTGAGGGTTACCAAATATCTCAAATATGACCCCGGATTTGATTTGTTTGATTTGAGGGCAGCGCTGCTTCTGGAAAACCAGCTGAGGCGGCTGCACGATGATACGTGTAATTACTCCTCAATCTGGGGCCTTTTTTTTGTTTGGGAAACTTACCGCTGGATATATAATGGAGTAGTTAGCTTGCTATATATATGCAAGCTTTTGCTGGACGATTCGCTTTGGGACAGATGGCAACATGGTTGCTTATGGGATCAATGACATAAAATTATCCTCGCATATAATACTACTGAGTTATGACCTATCTATAAATTCACAAGACCATCATCCTATAAGACCGTTTGATATGTTTCCCATATCCATTTTTTCCTTCCCTGGAAGATTTAGACTTTACAGAGTCTCGAAGACGGCCACCGCTGCTTTAGCGGTAGACTCGGCACTAGCGGGATTCTGGCCTGTAACCAAGCGGCCATCAACAATGTGGAAGTCGTCCCAGATGCCAGGAGCACGCTTATCTACAGATAGAGATATTAGTGACAATACTTGGGCGTTTTTGGTAGCAGGGGATACTTACAGGTGGCACCAAGACGAGCAGCAACTTCTTCAACCATCTCGGAGTTCCAGCTTCGGAGCTCGCCCATGATCTTCATGGTGTTCTCAGCCTCGGTAGTGAAGCCAGTGATCTTCTTGCCCTTGATCAAAGGCTCACCGGTGGTAGTGTCGAGGAGATTGGCAAAGATAGCAGGACCGTGACACACAGATGAGACGACTCCACCGCTAGCCCAGACTTGCTCAGCGATCTTCTGAAGTGAAGTCGCAGTTGGGTAGTCGATTAGTGCAGCGTGGCCAGCGGAAGCATAGAAGAGGCCATACTTAGAACCGTCCAACTCAGAAGCCTTGGGCATGTTGTCGAGCTTCTTGCGGAACTCGCTGTCTGTGTCGTTCCAAGTGGCCAGGTCGTCGCCATTGAGAAAGTCAGGCTGCTGAGAGAGCCAGTCGGGAGTGTAAGTGGCAGTCTCTGAGGCTAGATCGACCTCGAAGCCAGCAGCCCTGAGGACCTTGTAGGGGTGCAGGGCTTCGCTGATGAAGAGGCCAGTGGTCTCTTTGCCGTCAAAGAGGGTAGCACTGGCGGAGGTGATGCTGATGAGGGCTCGGCGAGGAGGAGACATGTTGGTTGTTTGTGAAGTAAGTAGAATGGTTGATGAATAAAGGTGAATGTGTTGGATGTGATTGTAGGTTGGTTGACTGGGAAGTGTTTGTGTTGCTTGAGAGTGATGGGTTGAATAATGTTCTCATTGTTGGTGGATTATTTCCTCTTCTTATAATCTTGAATCTACTGCTACTTCTATATTTCTCGTATGCATTTTTAACTGGCGGAATGATGTGAATCCCGTGCTTACATCGAGGAGTTGCCCTGATTGGTTTCACAACAACGAGAAGAATGAGTGATTCCCATTGGTTGACGTTCAGCTGCGAGATGTGGAACTCTTCCTTCTGGGGCTACTCCCATTGGCTGAGCGATCGACAAGTAAGAGGAGATGCTCCCATTGGTTGTCGCAAACCCAGCTGCGCCGCGCTAAGACGGAGATCCGGAGTGGGTTCCTGGTGAATTGTGTCGCAGGCCGGGCATGGTCTCAACGAGCCTCATCATTTGACCAGTGGCTTATTTTAGCTCTATTTCAGATCTTTATTTACCTATCATTACTTGAGAAATCGGTATAGAGGTATCCACAGGGCTTCATGAATCTCATGACTTCATACGATATGCGGAATAAATTCATGTCACAGAGCCAGCCCTCAAGGTGGGCGGTTCAGAGCAGAACGTAGTGTCATAATGATAAGAACTTGTATCCTCCATGGTCTGGGGAGTGCGCAAGCCTACCACGTGACAAGCAGGAACTTCACTAAGAGCCTAGTCCTTGCCTAATAGAGAGATAAATGAACAAGTCTTGCATGTGGATAATTACAAATACAAAAATGCGCTAAAGGCGACTAAATGACCTTATCGCGGTTGAATGTGGAATGCAACACACCGGACTCCTTTCTCCGAGATAGTAGAGAAACGGCATCCATATAGTGCCTACGTCCTGCTGGGAAAGCTCCAAGGTCTTCACAAGTGCTCATTAGATCCCCCGCAGAGTTCAGTCTTCTGCACTAGACAGCAGCGCAATTGCTTTGCAACGTGTTGAAAAATGCCGTCTACATCCATAGAGCTTCGACGCCCAACCGCTTCGTGGAATGGCGAAGCTGGCCCTGTCACACCTTCGAACCCCGATATCACCGAGGAGCAATCATTCGAAGGACACACCCAATTCTCGTTGCCCCCAGTGGATCGCGGCAAGGATGCCTGGCTATTTCTCTTTGCTGCTTTCCTTCTAGAAGCCCTTGTCTGGGGCAAGTCACCACACCGCTTCAAGTATACGACAGGAATACTAACTCTCTTTAGGCTTTCCCTTCTCTTTCGGCATCTTTCAAGCCTACTACTACAGTCATGAGCCATTCGCCGGATCGTCTGGAATAGCAACAATTGGCACGTGCGCAATGGTAGGGTTTTCCATTGCTTGTTCAGACTGTTCAGCTAACGTCTATCAAGGGCATCATGTATTTTGCTTTCCCAATTGCTATCGCACTACAGCGGCTGTACCCTCATATTGCTCGTTGGGCTCCAGTCTTTGGTTGTCTGGCCCTGAGTGTTATCCTGGTAGTCTCTACTTTCTCACAAAACGTAGGGCATCTTATCTTGACACAGGGAGTCTTGTACGCCTTCGCAGGCTCCTTGGCATATTGTCCTTGCATGGCCTGGCTTGAGGAATGGTTCGTGCAGCGCAGAAGTCTAGCCTTTGGCATCATGTGGTCGGGTTCAAGTACTGGTGGTGTTGTGATCCCCTTGCTATTAGAAAGTCTTTTGCAGAGATTTGGCTTCAGAACAGCACTGAGAATCTGGGCTGTCAGTCTGTTGGTACTGTCCTTACCGGCCTTTTTCTTCGTTAAGCCCAGGATTCCCGCCAGCTCAATCGGTGCCACGAGACTAAATATCAAGATCGGGTTCATCTACGACAGAACTTTCATTATTTACCAAGTTGCCAACATTGTCCAGTCTCTTGGTTTTTTCCTGCCTGCTATTTATCTGCCCACCTATGCGCGATCAGTTCTACATGCGAGTCCATTTCTCGCGGCAGTCACTGTTATGATCGTCAATGGTTTCAGCTCTCTCGGCATTTTTATCATGGGTTTGATAGCGGATAGGTGGCATATCACCACGTGCATTCTCTTGTCCACGATCGGCGCTGTATTGACGACGTTTCTTCTGTGGGGCTTCGCTGGAAACTTGGCTATTCTGTACATCTTTTGCGTTTTCTATGGCTTGTTTGCAGGAGCATTCAGCGGGACGTGGCCAGGAGTTTCTCGGCAGGTGGCCTCTGGCACTCTGCACGGCGGGTCATCTGAAGACCTCTCTTTCGACCCAGTCATGATAACTGGTTTCCTAATTGCTGGACGCGGAGTCGGCAATATTGTCTCAGGGCCACTCAGTGAGGCCCTTTACAAAGCCGTTCCAACACAGAATTCAAATATCTGGGGCTTGGGTGGTTATGGGGCTATCGTTGTCTTTACTGGCATCACAGCTCTTGGGGGCGGAACATCGTTCATATGGAAAAGGTTGGGTTGGATCTGACACCAAGGAATACTGGCGAGCCAAATGATATATATGCCTCAACACTTGTCTATCGACCGTTTGCTAGTGATACAAACTGTTTCGCACCCAGTGCAGAAGAATAAAAGCAGCTCATCATCTCAAAGATAGCACTAGAGCCTCCCTAAAACTATGACCAGTCTTAGACGTGGTACTTAACCGCAATCTTGGATCGCTTAGCCTGGACACCCTTATACAAAGCAGGGCCAGGGATCTTCCAGCTATCACCACGGTTGTCATAGACAGAGAACCCAAAGATTTGCTCATCAGAAGTGCTGTAAAGCTGAGAAGCAACATCACCAGAGCCAGAAAGGTTGTCAGTACCCGAGCCAGTAACCTCAATGTTGCCACACTGCATATAGAACTCGGGCTCGGAAAGATGGGCACGGTGAAGTGCGATAAGCTCGTTTCGAATGACGTACTTTCCGGGGGCAATAGAGGAAGGGATAGTCGCAGAGTTTACACCGCCATTCTCACGAAGCTTGTCGGTAGCCCAGACACCCTCAGTATGGGGGGGCCCAGAGACAAGGCCTTCTTCGGCAATCTTGGTCCACTTGAGCTGTGTCTTATCAACTGAAGCGCAGTCGCCGTTACAGGGTGCAATGTAGGTGATGACAGGACCACGGTGAGACTCGGCCCAGCCGTTGAGGTTGATCTCCTTGTCGTCAGAAGTCCAGAAGATGGAAGCAGTACTGCCAGCTGCGATTTCGCCGTAGTTCTTTGAAGCCTCAGCACCCCTACGACAGACAAAGTCGGGGCTCGAGATGTCCATCTCAGGACCCTCATCCTCGGTACTGAAACTCCATCCAATGGCATTAGGGTCGGGGGAAGGTTTCCAGCGGCTGAAACCCTCGTAGTCGACACCATCCAGGGTGAATGTTTTCAGGTAGCCATGGGCGGCAACGTTGGAAGCCAAAAGAGCGGTTCCGATAATGAGGAATCGAGACATGTTGGAGGTGGAATTTCAAGGAGTGTATATGACTAGAAAGAATGAAAGAGGTTTACTTATCAAAAGTAATCTTGGGGTGAATGAAAGCAATGGAAGCAGAGAATGAATGAATTGATGATCTGGAAACATTGTTGAGGGTGCAGCCGTCCCCTTTAAATAATATCGCTGAACATTGCCCACAAATGTCAGTAATACTAGACAGGATTGTGCCAAGGGCATGAAGTTTGAGGTTTTTATCGCATGTACGGATGGACAGCCAAGACCAAATGAGCACTTGATTTTCTATCTAAAGGAGCGACGAGAGTCGGTCTCTTATATTCATGTTCAGTCTGCCGATCGTCTAGGCAGCAGGATGCTACCTGCGATTTAGAGTTCATGGCAACTATGAAGTTATTCACGATGGTCGTGATCCTTGCCCTTGACAGTTTTCAGCGGATCGATATCCCTGTGAAGATTATCAGCGTATCTTGAGGCTGAGCGCCAACTCCGTGCTATAACCTATCAGGGCGATGTGCCTTGCCGCCAAACGGTATCATAGGCAGCCTAACCCTGCACATTGGTCGTTAAAATTAGCCAGGAAGGTTTCTGTGATCCTTTTCTGGAGAGCGGCTCTTGGCAACCAGGGTGTTAATGTCGATCTTGGAACAAAAGCCGGTTTGTCCGTCCTTCTCGTGAGGCTTGAGGAAGAATTACGCGCCGTTGGTAGTCGTAAGCGCTTGGGTGCTCTAGCCAGCCCTACAGTAGTTTCCGTTGAAGCACATCCTACTGGACATCAATACAGTTGATCTTGGCAGAGATTCCGTCCAGCAGCGCTTCCATCTAGTTCATCCAGCATATCATCGGCACAAAAGCGCTTTACTTCCAAGAGAGCATCCCGTCAGCGGGAGCATATCCCTCTCCGGCCAAAAATATCTGCACAGATAGATCAGGTAGCTTTCTATTCACCAAGGTAGGAAGTCTATGTGCTCTCAGATTACTAGTAGCTGCAACCTGAAACCGTGCATCCTTGGGGAAAACCCTCACAGGAGAAAAGCCCAAGGTGGCTAAAACGCTGTTCTGCGGGAGAAGACAGCCGCCTCCTTCCGCAGTCTCCAGGCAAGCTCTGTACCATTTCGACCCAGCGGTTTTGTCTAGTGGTCTCAGCCAGTGAGACAAATCGTCGAGGCCCGGTTTGTGTTCCGGGCGGCAGCCGAGGCTGCAAAGAAGAAGAGATTCTCTGGGCAGTATACGACTGCAGAGATCGGTCATGCAGCTTCGGGGCTGCAAGAACGGTGGCGAGCCATTTAGAGCCCGTGCGTCGAGATAGGGGACCAGAGGGCCAAACAAGTCGAGCAGCTGGCGGCTGCTAGTGTTGTTCGGGCAGCAAATACTGCAAAAGTCGGTCGAGGCAGCGTAAAGCTGCAGGTGGGGGTGAGGGTACGATGACCCCCAATGTCGAGCGGCAGGATGCCGCAAATGTCGCGGAGAAAGGTCAACTCTCTGAATCCCTTTCTCCAGGCAGCTGTTAGAGCACCGTTGGCCCCACAGTTGTCTTTGCTGCCATTTTGGCCTGCAAAAACCTTTTGCCCTAGCAGCGCTCTAACAGCGGGTAATAAGAAAAGATTTTACAGGAGAGTTGTAAAATGATGTAACGTGTTTTATAAGCGAGTGACCCATATAAGCGAGTGACCCAAAAATCTCAACCTTCTCAATTAAATCGGCAATAAAAATACCACAAATTATCAGATCAATTAAAACTAATCGCTATATTCTTCTAAATTAACCTCAATTTCCTCCTGACAGGTCCTTGTATTATGCCCGGCCCTGCCGCATTTGCTACAATGTGAAACCCTCGGTCCCTTTGACCTTCCGCGACCACCACTTCTCGACGATTCGGCTGCTACCTGCGTATCAACATCCATCTGATCAATTGCTTGTGATGCCTCTTCTATAGTCAAAGGCCCTCCTTTCTGTAGTCTAGTCCTTTTCCCCCTCCGGCGTCGCTTTACTATCCGATTCTCTTGTTCAACTTGTTGAAGCCTATCCTCTAGTAGGACTATCTTATGGATAAGGACGCTTGTTGCCTTCTCAAAATGCTTAACAGCCTCAATAATTGACTCTGGGGAGCTGCTCTTATGATTTCTAACCCTTCCCTGTAGATATTTAGAATGCGATTGGGCCTCTAGTAGTGTCTTTGGGGTCCTTGCAGTCCAAGGGGTTGAAGGTATCGTGACCTCTGCGGGAGGTGTCGGGGTCCGTAATTGCACATCAAGCTTTGAGATGACATTTTCTGGGTCAAAGGGAGCAAGCCCAGCTCCTCTAAAACCTCCTTTGATATTACTTTCTGTAATAGTAGCTCGGTGGGCGGCATGAAAGGCAGGAAAGAACTCGATCTTGGTGATGTGGTTTATAGAGCATCCCATTAGACGCTCTATTTCTCGCCCATAGGCCTTTTTCAGCGGCCCAAAGCACCCTACATCAAGAGGCTGGAGTAGATGAGAGCCATGAGCAGGCATACAGAGGGTAATAATCTTATTCTCCTCACAATATCTCTCGAATTCGATAGAGTGGTGGCTTTCATGACCATCGAGGATTAAGAGACGATAAGAACCAACTGATCGGTCCTTTGTTGATCGATCAAAGTGCTGTAGCCAGTCAAGACCTAGCTGGTTATTGGTCCATCCATTTTCGCTCAATGCAATGACCCAATCGCCGGGGAGGTTGCATTCTCGGTACCAATTGGCAAGATGATATTGGCCTGAACCAATGATGAATGGTGCGATCGATTGACCTTCTGCATTGACCGCTTGAATCACAGTAATCCATTCACGATTTCCAGGCTGTATCTTCTTTGGTATCCCTCGCCTTTCTGAGCTTGTGACGACCATTCCGGGCTCAATCATACCCATCATAAAGCCGGTCTCATCAAAGTTCCAGATATCAGCTAATTGGATACCGTATTTCGCGATCGTATTCTCTACGAGGCGAAACCAGCCCTGAATAATAGTCGGATCTTCGCATTTAGCTCTCTTATAGTCATATCTCCGAAATCGACATGCCTTTAGCTCTGGTTGTCGTTGGATAAAGTTATGAACCCAGAGCTTGCCGACTGGTAATGCCTCGCGATCGGCAAGTAGAGAATTGGCCATTTTTTCCACAAAATCGCGCCGAGGGGGGAAACCTCGGGAATCTAGGTCAAGGATAAATTGAACTATCGTCTGTTCCTCTAGATCAGATAGGTTCCGTGATTTTGTGGTTATATCACGCTTTGAATGAATGCCATTCCGGCGGCGACCTAAGGTGCGGTGATTGACCTGATATACAGTCGCCGCCTTTCGGATACTTAATTTCGGGTCATTTTGAAGGGCCTGAAGGGCAAGAAGTATCCTAGCTTCATATGAAGGCTGTGGCATATCGGGTTGTTGAAAGATATTGAATTGAATGATGATAATGTAAGTTGAGGGATTTTTGGGTCACTCGCTTATATGGGTCACTCGCTTATAAAACACGTTATCATTATGTTATGTTATGTTATGTATATTTTTCGTCCGGGGGGCCGTAGGCCCCGAAAGTCCCCTACTGGGGCACAGGACGTGCTGAGCTAGAGAAATTGGGACCTATCTACACACTAATTACAGAATACTATGACTTCCTCTCGAAATCCAATTCTGCAGACGCGTCGATAGACCACACACTATCCAGCATATCAACGGCACAAATGGCGCATCTTATCGAGCCTGTTACCCGTCAGCGGGATGATCAGGCGTGGCTGATGAACGACAGCCGCAAGGTAAGCCCGTTGTTAGGCGATCGTGAGCCTCTGGGCGCGGTAGCCTCAGGGCTGCCTTCAAGTGGTCACGGTCAGATAGAGGGCGTGCTAGCGCCCTTCATCTGGCCGAGAACAGGTAAGAGAGAAAGGTAAGAAAAGGGAAATGTATAAGGGTAAAAGAGGGGAGGAAGGATGCGAGTGCGTCCCGGGTCGTGCTCGTCTAATAACGAGGACAGATCTTTCCAAAGAAAGCGCTGGCTTTAGAGAAAAAAAATGATGTATCACTTAACTTGGCTTGTATGGTTTAGGGTAGGACAGTAGTCAGGCAACCTCTAGTAAGGACATATCAAGATTTCAGAGGCAAGTAGTAGTATACCAATCATTTCAACTTGGATAATGGGATGATTTGATTTGATTGCAGTGTTTGATTGATTGAGTTGACATGTGGGGAGCGCTGGTCATCCAGTCGCGAACTCAGTGCTCACGTTAGATTTAGTCAATTTACGTCGGCTCTGGTTGGGGATTACGTGTATGACCCCCTTCAAATATGAGTAATGATTGATCGGAGGGTGCGCCGCGCCGTCAAGGATGTTTGAGCGTTAAATAGCCTCAGCGTCATTTACCATAGGGTGTATTTACGTCATGCGAGGCCTCCTGCAGCTGACATGCATAAGGCATGAGGAGAGGCAGACAGTGAGAAAAAGCGTATGAGTCCGGGCTAGAACAGGAACTCTATTAATATCTTATACTCCCTCATAGAGCGAAGCAACGTCCTATACCCTGCTTTCATATGGCTTTTCGCAGCCATATCTCTGTTCATATTCACTGGTCCATTTTCATTGTGTGTCTCATGGCCGGTTTTCTACCATCGCCCACTGAAGACGAATGCCAAAGATGTGCCGAACTCGGCATTCGAAATGTCTTGGGCGAGGAACTATTGAATGAATCCTCGAATCTTATAGCGCAACGGGTGTTCTTTGACTCTCAAAACTCAATTGATCCCTCATCTTGTCCGAGTTGTTGGGCCTCGTGCCGACTTCATCGGAGTATCCAACCCGCAAGAATATTCAATGAAGACCCCGCCTGGGCGGATCCGAATTCCTTATTACGCAACTCGCACTGGACTTGTATGCTGAGTTCGCAAGAAGTCGGCCGACTTGATTGCAAACCTGGCTCCCGACCTATGCTTCAAGACACATTTGGAAAAGGGCTTGCTGAAGATGCTTCGGGGACTGTCCGAATTGTCCAGAAAACCCCCAACTACGCGGTAGTCTTGGCGTGGTTGGAAAACTGCCATAAGGAGCATCTTTCATGTCAGAGAAAATATTCTCCGTGTCTGAAAAACATTTTTCTTATTGATGTAGAGGAGGAGGCCTTAGTATGTTACCCGAGTGATGCCGGAAAATTGATTCATTATTTAGCTCTGAGTTATGTATGGGGGAGCTTTGAAGCTAATTACCAGGTTACTGGACCCGGTCCCATAGCTATTGAAAGGCTTCCACAAACAGTCCAAGACAGTATAATTGTTACTAAAGACCTGCGCCAGAGATACTTATGGGTTGATCAAGTTTGCATCAACCAAGACAAAAAGATCAAGAAGAATGAGCAACTGGGTTATATGGCTTCTATATATGGTGGAGCTTGGGCAACAATCGTTGCTGCGGACAGCAACGATAGCAACAGTGGGCTGTCCAGGGTCCGCCCGGAATCACAACGAAGTCATCAGCTCAGAATCGAGTTCGGGAATGGAAACATCATGCTCCAGAAATTACCCAGTTTTGAACAGCAAATGGCAGTGTCGCCGTGGATACAACGTGGTTGGACTTATCAGGAAGCTTTGCTATCTCAAAGACTTGTGTTATTTACCAAACATCAGGTCTACTACAGCTGCAACTCCATGCTTTGCTGCGAGGCCCTTGATGATGAGAAAACTTTCGGTGGGAGCACGAAGCCTTTGTCATATGACATGAACGACGAGGTTAAGAATCCTCCGAAGATCGACCTCCATTTCCCAACCAAGAAGGAACTTCGAAATAATAAGCTGTTTGAATATGAGCGTTTAGTAAATCTCTACTGCAAGCGTCAGCTGACACACTCCCAAGACATCTTGGTAGCGTTTTCGGCATTGCTACAGCGCCTTGAGCAGCTTGCATTTCCAACCGGTTTCTGTCATGGTTTACCGAAAGACAATTTCCCTCAGTCTCTTTTATGGAGACAGGGAAGAAACGCCTCTGATCCTGACGCATGCCCTGTGTGTTTCGGCAAACCTGATGCCCCAGCTCGGCGAAAGTGTGAAACAACGTTTCCTAGTTGGAGCTGGATAGGGTGGCATTTGAAATCTGAGGTGCACTTCCCCCATCCGGTTGCGGAGGTGGAGGACGAACCAAGAGAGATGGTCGATTTGAAACCGCCGCTCAAGATCGAGACGGTAAAAGGGCAGATATTGTTCGATAATCTGCAAAATGCCCACAGAATGTGGCAACCCCGCAAGAGGTACCATATTCACCGCAAACCTTCACCCAGAAGGTTAGCTATTAGAAGCTTCCGTGCGCCCAAGGCCAAATGTCTGATCGGTGACTGCACGTTTCACCACGAGATGAAAGAGGGTACTAAGTTAAAGGTCAGGGGAATAGTTCTGGAACTGCCGTGCCGAACTTCTGTTAGCTGGGTCCAGTGCTGGATTTGTCAACAAGGCTATACTAAATTCACGCCTGAGTTCGACTGGCGTATATTAGACAACTCTACCAAACCCATTTACGAATCGGAATGGTATGTGGATGAGTGCTGTGATAAATTTGGAGACAACGGTGAGGAACCAAGAAAGGACAGGTTTTTGCTTCTGGAATGCCATCGCACAAAAGAGCATACGTTACAGCTATAGCAGAGCGTAGTTTGCAGCCTCTTAATATTACATTGGGAGGACGGCAATCTGGTACGGGGCGGCATATTGATAATTAAGATAAGGGCTGAAGATTGGCAAGGTTTCTGTACGAATTCGGGACTACGAGTAGAAGAATTTTGGTTAGCTTAAAGCTATCTAGCAAATCTTCATTCTTTCCGCTTTTTTTATCATATGGCAATGTTGGGGGTCGGGATGACTGGTTGTTCGGAGAACAAATTTTTGTAGATACAACACGAAAATGGAGCTCAACGTAGAAGCGACTCTTGCAATTTAGTTCGGGCTTGTCCCATGCTTTTTGCTACTCTGTAGCATGAGTTATGAGAGTTTGTAAAAATTATTTGATCAAAGCTTGACAAAAAGCTCGCTACATAAGGAAGGGTTAGGATAGGGTTAGTATTAAACTATCTAAGCTAGTCTGCCCTGGCATTTTCCTCTAACTAAAGTAGAGTAAAAGGCTGAGTAGAGAGGTATAAGAGGTATAAGAAATATAAGAGATATAAGAGAAGGGAAAGGAAGGTATATAGCTAGAGACCTAAGAGATAGGTATAGCTAGAGGTAGCTAGAAAAGGGAGACTATAGCTATACGATATCTTGCGAGCATCGACCCGACTACCTGACCGGCGCGCCTTGGTGATAGACTGCTTCTTAGGACAGGGAACCCCAGAAAGTTACCCTGATATAATAAGCTCGAGTGAAGTTGAGCAGAAGATATCTTACATCTAGGGGCATTAGACATCGTGGTAGATCGGTGCGAGAACACGATCTGTCCGACCAGTCGTTTCCTTCTATGCTGGCTAAACAGCACGAGACTTCACCATTTCCACGAAAGACCGTTCAGTCTGGTGGCGGAGAAAAGTACCGAAAGAAAGTACCGGAATGTTCAGAAACGGCTCTTGGCCTTTGCCTTTCGAACGCATATGATGACGGCTAGAGTCAGGAGAGAGTGTGTGAGGTTCCAGTTGAGCAAAGATCTATCCTCTCAACTTCAAGTCATTTAGGAGCCCAAGGTCTGGAAATTGTTCGACTAGACCAGAGGATCCTGGCCTGTGATACCGGGAATTAGTGACATCGGCGAAGCCACGGATGAGGTTTCTGCGCGCCCTGAGTATCAGCCGCTGCAGGACGAATTCATTTCATTCGATGCATCGCAATCCAAGGATTTTGACGATGAGCAAGGTGAAGAAGAAGCCTATGTGATGACGAAGACGAAGATGTCAATTCGGTGTTCGGATACGACGAGGTCGACTGTGACAACTCGGAGGTTGTACGCAACCAAGCCAAAGCCGATGAAACCACCATGCTGATCGACATTCGAAGATGTGGTGAGTCCGACACGGCGACGTTGAAGGCGATTTAGGGGCAAATGGAGACAGCACAACGCGGCGTGATATACTGCCGCTCGATTAAGCAGTGCGAGGCAATAGCTGCGCTGGTTAGCTGCAAAGCGTATCACAGCAAGTTAACCCGGGAAGCTCGAGCTGGCGCGCTGCAAGACTGGGTCGATAGGCTGGACGGTCAGCGCTAGATCGCGGCAACGACTAGACTAGGGACTGGAGTCGACATCAGGGGCATCATCGGGGTAATTCATGCAGGCCCGCCGTTTGGTTTGGTCGCCTTTGTTCAGCAGACAGGCAGAGGCGGTCGACAGAGAGGCGAGGTTGTAGACTCAGTGATTGTGACGGACGGAAAGGCGGGTTGGGGAGATGAGTTCGGCAGTGATATCGATCACATGAACCGGGAGGGAGTTGGGTCGTTTATAGAGGACGAGGGCTGTCGGCGCTTAGTGCTTGGCCGCTTTTTTGATGGGGTTGGGCTTTGTTGTCGGGATATGCGGGCAGAATACTGTGATCGGTGCTCGAAAGAAGCTGATGCTAATCAGGTGGATGGCGAAGAGGATAGGGAAGGGAGGACTAGCAGTCTTGATCACATTTATTCATTCCATTTCAAGTAAATAAAATAGCCCTCGTAGACCTTGTGCGAAGTCAACTGAAGTCTGGAAATATAAGAATCGGAAATCTGGGTGAATTAATTCAAAAGGTGCTATTTATTTTTGTCCTAAAGTTCAGTCTCTCTTTCTCTAGGCCGTATCTGAAGAACTCAGGAGCCTAAACGTTTCTTCAAGCCACGATATATATGTGTCCTGCATCCATGCGCCTATTACTCGCAAAGTTGCTACAATAGTGTACAGTCCGATGAGATTATCTGTGCTGCCAATTTCCAAGTCTTGAAGAATCACCTATAGTTAGTTGATATTAGCACAATTCTATCAGTATATCGACGGCAACAAGTGTTGATGGAAGGAGTTCACTTACTATTTGATCCTTCTTATCGCAGGCAAACAGCAAGCGCCACTTGTGCTCCATGACAATAATCAAAGGCAGCGTCACCAAGGGCTTATCTGAGGATGTTCCAATAAGCATCTTCATGCGCTGATGCCATGACGCGACCCAGATCCCCAACTGTAGTCTCGCCTCTTCCAAGTCTCCTCTTGCGATCTTGGTTTCAATGACCATAGCAATGGGATCGTTTCTGACTGGCCGATAGACAGTCTGATTGAGACAGCGTTCTCTATCTGGTAAGCCAAGGATTTGTTTGTGGATGATTTCTGAGAGGTGTGGCGGTGGACATATGCGAACGCCCAGATCTATCATCTTGGGACGCGAGTAATCATACAGCGTATCAATTCGCATTTCGGGTAGAAACGGTTTGCTGATGCGTGCTGAAGTGAGAAGATGTCGATGAATCGAGGGGAAGGCATTGAAAGCCAGCTTGAGCAGCGGAGCGTGAACCTCAAGATTCCACGTTGCTTCACAAGCCTCCTGATCGCTAACAGTCTTGGCAGCGTCTTCAAGATCACACAGCGCAATGAACTCAGTCTTGTACTGAGATTTTTTGTCTGCATCATCACCGACCTCAAAATACCAACCACGTCTGATCGTACCCTTACGATGAAGCGCTTCCAACTCTGAATAAAGGGAACTAGGGAGAAAGTTCTCTTTATGCACAGTGATACTGTTGATGTCATCAAAAAGAGAGGCGATATCGTCAGGAAGCTGCTCAGTTGGATCGTCTTCAATGGCGGTATAGCGGATGGGTTTTTTGAGAAGCTCGAGGGTGGATTGTTTGACAGGACTTCCGGATCTGTTGCTTGATGCTCGTGATGGAGATCGGTGCGAAGATGCATTGGTGGATGATTGGCTGGGAGTTTGTGTATTTCGTCGAGGAGGTAAACTATACAGAGGAATAGTTCTACCTCGGACCGAAGCATTGGGCGTTTTGTCGGTGTCGAATGGGTTGTCACCTGGTAGATGAGTGGTATATTGGTGGACAGATGGGTCATCAGTCGCGTCATCCATACGCGCTCTTTTAGCAGGTGAGCCCACGCGAGTCGGCGTAGATGCAAAATGTGGAGGTGTCGGCATTTTATTGAAATCGCGTTTTCGCTTGTCACAAAACGACCCTTGAACTTCAGCTTGGCAATATTGCGATAATGGGTTGGTGAGCGTGTTGAGCCAGCTATGGATGAATGCATCCAGCGATGCGTGTTCGAGATCGCTCATAAAGACTGAGGTTTTGCGACCATACAAATCGAGTGAGGGTGAGTAGTGGTATTACAATTGCAATGTTCATGGAGAGATGCGTAATTGAGCGTTGGCGATTAAGTTGGGAAGCGGGGTTGTTGTTCAGTGATTGTGTTGTCCCAGCGACCAGTTAGTCAGCACACCGTACCGCTCTATAATTGGCGGGCAATTCTGTTTTGGCTTAGCTCCCAGTCGGCTAATTAGCCGCCGGCATTATTCTTCGCTAATGAAGTGGGCGTTACTGTGGATATTCCCAGTATTGCTGAAGGGGACAGCGCCAAACATTCGTGACCGCGACGCCATTTAACCTTCTAATGAATTTCATATTCTTAACAGAATCCTTGAAAAAGTCATCATCTACTTCTTCACTAGCGGTCTTGTAAACTTCAAAGGTCCTAACTTGCCTGCTCCTTCGCTCTACTTCACGGCTCCCTCAGTCTCTTGACCAATTTGACTTTGCGACAACCCTATAAGTTTTAATATCATCCTACCGACCCCAATATATTTCACCGGATATCTTGCTCCATTAAGTCATTGCGCAAGGTCATGGGTCGATTAGTTTAAAGCATTTTACTGGCAATTCGATGCGATTGCTATTGCGATGACTGTACAGCGCAAAGACTTGGCAGTGAGGCCAGGGATTGAGTAGCCTACTGTACCAATTACCACTGGTATTGACATCGGCGGTCAATAGGCGGACGGGTACCCGTCCTTCTAAAATTGGACGGGTCCCGTCCCAGTTTCCATATTTGGTATAGTTTTCTCCGCTATCGGATCGTCGGTATCATCACCCTTGCAAGATCCAGTTCCAGATTCAACAACGCCACCAGAGATACGTCCCGTCAAGAGATGATTGGTATAAGGCCCAGCCACCGAGAACCTCACTAGGTAACCGCCAGTATAGAAGAGCAATGGGCCTACCTATAGGATATCTAAAAGCAAGCTACAGCTGGTGTCTTGATTGTGAGCAGATGCGGAGGTGCTGCGCCACCTCAACGAGCCTAAGAGAATGGACCAAAGAAGAGATGAAGGCTTATTTAGACTGGGGCAAAGCAGAGACTGGTCGCATCGAAGCAAAAGTATCTCGAGAGACTGAGAACGGGCGGCTGTTCACAAGCAGAAGAGGCATGAGTGAGCTTTGGGAAATAGCCCAGCAGGGTATCGATGAACAAGCCTTGTACTCGGCCGTGGAAGATGAAGAAAGCTGTATTGTGGTACAGCGCTAGCTCTAGTAGGATTTGGAGTAAATTTGGAACTCAGATATGTCGTGGCTATTTCACCTCAGGCCAGTGGTTCATTGAAATAGCTGGTAAATGGGACTCGTTAAACTACTTGAGGCAGTGGAACAAGAAGGCGTGAGGTAATCCGATAGCGGAAAAAATTATGCCTTTGAGGAACGAAAAGGTTCTTTCTTCCTCGCCCTGCTTACCCGAGCACGGATCGCGGAGTGGTCCGTGCTAGCCAGCTTCACCACAATTTCTGCGCCACAATCACCTTCGCGCCACAGGAATCAAACAGCAACAACCACCGAAAAAAAAAAAAAAAAAAAAACCTGGGGGAAAACACTGGGGCCCCAGCTGGATGTGTATCTCTTCTTTGAGTGGCACAAGGCAACAAAAGGTCACTTGACCCACTTGACCCCACGTACCAGAAGGCTACAAAGGCTTTATATGTAAAGGCAGCTATTAGAGCCTGTACTTCTTTGTAGCTTAGCTACTTCTATAAGAGTATAGCCTCTTTTTTTCCTGACTTTAACTGGCTATTAGCTTTTTATACTTATTCTTATTGGTTATTGGTCTTTTGTATACAAGCTGATCCTGTATTGGCTGAATTAATTCATCTAATTGGCCTGATATCCCTGTCTTGACCGTTTTGTTGCCTTCTGCCACTTAAAGAGATACAGGGTAATCGAGTCAGCAAGACATTGGTTTGTCCTACGACATTCTTAGTGACGTTTGCCGATTTTTTTTTCTTCCTTTTTTGCTAACCAAGGACCCGTTACTTGATACGTCTACTTGAACCTGGTCATGTGACACATAAAGAAAGAGAAAAAAAACCAGCGATTGAGGACAAGAGCTGTGATTTTCATGCCGACACCAAATCATGGTCTTACAGGAGTCAATTCTTCGTGCATCATTTCCGCACTTTTCGCTCAGGGCATATGACAAATCCACCGCTTGGTCCATGGTTATGAACATGCTGGCTTTCGTTCTTCTTATATCTTATTTCCCACCGGTCGCTTCCTATTTTGACCTCCACGGCGTTGAATGAAAATGGACAGTCTCCCTTCCCTCCACGGTTACACTGCCAAACCATTCTCTTCTTCGCGACCGGGTCTCCTGTGATTCTTGAGAATTTTTGGAATGATCGACAGATACGAATACCGTAGCTTTGTGATCTGGCGAACTCAACGAGCTCTTGTCTCATTTCGTGAAAAGAAGAGTACGTGGTGCCCTCCGGTGGTAGCTTCATGAGTTGCCCTTCCCGTTCGGCTGGTGGTGCGAATGTATCTTGTCTCATTGGCTCGGACTCTGTGAAGTCTCCGTTTCTGTATTAGTCTGGTGCTTAGCTCTACTCCGCAAAACGCTTTGCGGTGACATGTCGAATGCTAACCTGCTACCAAGATTGAATCCCTCTCATGGCCCGCTAGTTCCTGTTGGAGCCGCAGGTCGACAGGCATATATGCACCGTCCCTGATTTCTTTCCCTGTACCATTCATGCCCCTGGTCGAAGAAGGATCTTTTGCGCGCTTGGGTGGCGAGTTGTCCGGACTGCTGCTGAAAGGGTTTCGTCTTTTTGCCAGGTCGACTTTTGCTTTCTGTGGAGAGGACGCCTTCCTCATCACAGTAGCGCCCTCGAGCGTCGCCTTCGATGTGAAGCTGAACTCATCTACGAGCACAACTAGGATATCTTGCCCAGGTTGAAGCTCCTCCTGTAACAGTGCCGGGTTCAGGACACCAACGATGCTGCCTCTTCCGTACATCCACTTCCCAGATGCGAATCCGCCCTCAGGCAAGCCCTTCATCCAATCGACCCGGCTTTTCCAGGGCTGTTGATCGTGTGGCATGTATGCTAGAATGTGAAACATCTGGCCGCCTCTGAATGTCGGGTCCTTGTCACGGGGTGGTACGAGATAGGTGCTGCATTGGATGAAGCCGCAGCATTTTAGCTGATTGTTACTCAACGATCCAGCCTTGAAACGGAACGCCGTGGTGTCGACAGGTCCGTGGAAGGTAGCGCGCGGTGCTATGGTCGGGAGGCAGTCATTGGCAAGCCTGAGAGGCCTTATCGAGATGCTAAAAAGATGTGTCGGTTAGTATTCTGACCTCTGACTTATGGGCCTGTGTCTCTGCTACATTGGTGCTTTCAAACAGGGCATCGACATACGCTTGAACACACATCTGTCCACGAACCTGGGCCAACTTGGCATATGAGTCTTCCCATCCTCCAATAATGGACTCCTCACCGTCCTCGACTCTACGGCGGAAATGTAGCTGATACGGATGGAGCTGGATGTCGAAGAAGAACCACTGGTTTTCCCACTCATCTGCTTGGGGGAAGGGGTACACGTGCATGGAGAGTGGCACGTCGATTCCATCGATCTCATCGAGCACCTCTCCGTGCTCCCCTGCTCCTCCGTCAAAGAAGCTCGCCTTGACGAATTGCAGCCGGACCGCACCGATCAGATTGTGCCCTCGGATAAGCTGCCGGTCGGTGGATGAAGCTATCTCTAAGCCTTCGAGGCTGGAGAAGAATTGCACTCCCAGGGGGCTTAGAGCTGGCTGCCCTGGCGCCGCTCCCGACAAACGGGCCCTTGATTGCCCGTTACTGGAACCTAGACCTTGAGGCATCAGGGATTGAATCTTGCATGGCACGCAACAGTGTTTTGATGAGAAAGTAGTCTGTCAGAATCATCTCTGGATCTTTCGTGAGATGAGCTCGACTTCTTATACGCAAATGGTCCCCACATTCCGACGGGAAAACAGTTCCGAACTTTGTCCAGGGTCTGCTCCAAAAACCTTCACCCCGCACAATTTTCTCTGGTCTCGAGCGATTCATGATGCCATCGCCCGTCAGCCCTTCTGTATATTGCTTTTTATTATGCCACTCACACCAACACTGTTGGCGCCAGCTGGACGCCGCTGACTACGAGATGCGGTCACCTGCCAAGCGTAACATCTTTGAGCGCAACCTCCATGCCGGTTATTGACGGTCTGAACGTCATGCGATATTTCTGTCGCATGGTTCGAGTGGTTGTAATCTTGAAGCGCCCCTCTGGCACCCTCTCCGAAGTTGCCACCTACGGAAAGCTTCAAAGCTTCTACTCCGTGGACCTAAACTACCGCTGCGCAGCGGGTTAGTCCCTTCCTTCAGGTCTCTGCTCCTCTCTCTCAAAGTCTATTGATGGGATGGCAAATGCCTTATTTCGCCCTCTCGACCTCTGCGTCGATTGAGGGTGGTGTTTCCTCTTTTTACATCCAAGGTCTCATCCTTTCTACATAATAGTCCGTGTTACTTTTACTCGGATCATGCCTCCACCAGGACGAACTCCCCTTCCGATAGAAGATGTCCGCCAAACTCTGGAGAGGCTAGATCGGCAGCACACTGATACAACGGCTCGCACCCGGCGGACCACCCGGCCGCAGCGGGTCATGGAGTCGGAGCTCCGAAACACGAAGCTCAGAATGCCCCTCGAGGAAATCATCCGTGTATCGGACGACCTGGACCGTAGACGCGCCGAACGTCGGACCGGTGGACCCGGACCCTATCGGCCCCACCAGGCTCGCAGGCGCAGTGAATGGGTCCATACGCGGGTTGCTACCGGACCGACGACTCCTGAGCCAGCCTCTCCTCTCCGGACACCGCCTTCCCTCAAGCGGCATAGCATACAGCAAGACGTACTTCCGGCCCCGACACCCTCGGACCGAGACCGAAGCCGCCGGAAGAGGCCGAAACTACTGCACGAGGTTACTCAACATCAGCAACTGTCTCTTGACACAATTCTTCAACACCGGGACTCCTGCTTTCGCGTGAAGGAAGACGTATCGCTAAGGAGATCCTGGTGTAA